CTTCATCTGCTCCCCTGTGCTCTGATCAGATATGTCCCTCTCCCGGAGCTGCAGATTCAATGCCATCCTTTGAAATAAATTATTCTGGGGGGAAGGGCAGGTGTCCACGTAGTAGCTGGGATTGGGGCCAGCCCCTCAGATTGCAGAAGCTTTTTATGAAGAAATTTAAAGAAAATTTAAAACTGCATTTGTGAGAGAAAAAAACAAATGGGAAAATTGCACCAACGAAAGGTTTATCATGACTACAGTGTAGCTGCTTGTTCTTTGGGCGTAGTAAGGGCTGTTCTGGAAGAATATCATTGGGGAACATTTTTTAAAAAATCATTTTATTGGGTATTCGTACAGCTATTATCAGAGTACATACATGCATCCATTGTGTCAAGCACATTTGTATATTTGTTGCCATCATCATTCTCAAAACATTTTCTTTCTACTTGAGCCCTTGGTATCAGCTCTGCATTTTCCCCTCCCTCTCCCCACCCCCCATGATCCCTTGAAAATTTAAAAATTATAATTTTTCATGTCTTTCACTGACCAATGTCTCCCTTTACCCACTTTTCTGATGTCCATTGCCCTGTGATGGAGTTATATGTAGATCATTATGATCAGTTCCCCCTACCTCCCCCCACTTTCCCCCTATTCTCCCCGTATCGTTACTCTCATTATTGGTCCTGAGGGGTTTATTATCTGTCCTGGATTCCCTGTGTTTCCAGTTCTTATCTGTACCCATGTACATGCTCTGGTGTAGCCGGATTTGTAAAATAGAATTGGGATCATGATAGTGTAGGTGGGGAGGAAGCATTAAAGAACTAAAGGAAGTTGTATGTTTCATCAGTGCTATACCACATCCAGACTGGTTCATCTCTTCCTTCTAACCCTTCTGTAAGGGAATGTCCAATTGCCTACAGATGGGCTCTGGGTCTCCACTCTGCACTCACGCTCATTCAAATTGATATGATTTTTTGTTCTGGGTCTTTGATGCCTGATACCTGATCCTATCAACACCTCATGATCACACAGGCTGGTGTGCTTCTTCCATGTGAATTTTGTTGCTTCCCAGCTAGATGGCCACTTAAAAGCTTAAAAGTTTTAAGCCTTTAAGACCCCAGATGCTGTATCTTTTGATAGCCTGACTCCATCAGCTTTCTTCACCGCATTTGCTTATGCACACATTTTGTCTTGAGCGATCATATTGGGAAGGTGGGTATCACAGAATGCCAGGGTATTAGAACAAAGTGTTCTTGCATTGAGAGAATACTTGAGTAGATGTCCGTCTGCTACCTTAATACTTAACATATAAATATATGTACATAAAGCTATTCCCCTATCGTTATATATAAATATATCTACATATATACATGCCTATATTTAGACCTCTATAAATGTCCTTTGCCTCTTAGTTCTTTCCCCTGTTTCCTTTTACTTTCCTCTTGTCCCACTATCATGTTCGGCCTTCATTTGGGTTTCAGTAACTCCTCTCAGCTACATTTCCCTTGATCAAGCCCCACCAGGTATCATGTGCCCTCCTTTCCATCTATTTTAGATAACTTGTTGGTCCCTGGTCCCTGGTTGGTTGACACCCGCCTCCATTCCCCTGCCTCCCTTTCTCCTGTGTCCCCCTACCACCACCCCCAGAACCAGCGGTCCCGTTGTTTTCCCCTCCAGATTGGTTATCCCACCTAGCTTGTCTAGATAGACATACAGAGACAATAATAAGCACAAAAACAAAACAGAGCAAAACAAGACAACAAAATAACACAAAACAACAACAACAAAAGAAAAGCCTATAAATAAGTCCAGGTCTGTTTGTTGATCATTGGGGAACTTTACCTCATTCGTTTTATAGCTCTGAACTTGTCTCTTCCTTTTGTTCCTCAAACTCAATGAGCATTGAAAAGGAGCATAAATGGAGTCCCCCAAGAATGCCCAAACTACCATTTTGTTGTGTAAATAAGAGCAAAGAGTTTTTGAAAGATGGGTTAGAGAAACAGAAACCCATCACTTTCAGAAGGGTATACACCTCAATGAAGAATATATGAAGAAATAATAGCTTCACATTTTGATATTTTTGTTTAATAAAGGGCTCTTTGATTTTTTGTAGCAATACTTTTTGACTTAACCTGGTGTATTTGACCTAAATGGGGAAACATCATTTTTAAAAGATGGGCCAGTATGGAATAGTATTTGCAATAGCTTATATCTTGTAAGGGTATTGTTCAATACCCAGCATGGAATTCCTAGAAAACTTGGATGAGACCTTTTTGGTGAAAGTTAACCAAGCATCTGTAATGTAATACCCAATGCCATTCTTACCTAATAAGTTTCCACTCCACTCAAAAGTACTTTTCAATTACTTATGTGGACTTTTTACCTATAGAACCCCAAGAAGAACAGAATTTTCCAGTGGCAAAATATCAGATTGCAAGGGGGGCTCACCCAGCTCTCCTTCCCACTCTCAGAGGAGCCCATTCTAGGTCCTTACAAGGTCATTGTACAAAAGAATCTGGAAAAAAAAATAGAGCACCCCTTCGAGGTAATAGAATATGGTAAGTATTCTGCATGTACAAATAATGAGTGATATCACAGTAATTATAATTGAATATTTTCACATAGAGATGACCAGAAAGTTTAAGTTCCAATATTAAAAATGAACAAGACTTGTCGTTTGCCTAAATATTTGCTAAGCAATTTTCATGCACTATCTCATGTATTTCTTACTGCAGTCCTTTGAAGCAGAATGAGAATTTATAAGTTCCATTAAATTGCCGCTCTCCTGTCCTCCCATACCATTTCATAAAAACTAAGCAAATATTATTTTCCCATCTATCTTACATCTCTTGTAGAAATCAATAAGCTGTAAATGAAACAAGATTTTCAAAGGTGATACCGTTTGGTGACTTTAAGTATGATTACATTTAACCTCAGTTTACTAATGAGCAAATCAATTCTAGAAAAGTTAGCTAACTTGCCAAAATCTCACAGCAATAGGAAACAAGAAATATTTGAATAGGTCCTTTAGACCCTATTCAAACACAAATTGTTAATTGTGAACTATCCACATTTCTGTTGATTTATAACAGAAGGAACTTCTTCCTGAAATTATCTAATATATGCCTGTTGCATCTATCAGCACTACTCCAATTATAGTAATAGGCACATTGAAATCATTAGCTATCAGTTATGTGCAGATTCTAATGTCAATTAAATATTTTAAGCTATGGTTGAAGAGTCCTATCACAAAAACATGATTCCTCAAATTCATTAGAACAAAAAACATTATGAAATACAAATTTATAGTGGGAATAACACCTTAAACAAAGGTGGAAGAAACTAGTCCAGCAGGGACAATTGATAGACCAGAGAAAAGTTATTAACCAATTCTCTTAAACCATTAGCAAACCAGAACCAAAGCAGATGCTAAGTAACCAAGTCTGATTTACGGATCCCCGTGTATCCGAATAGTACTATGATGCCTAAGGATTTTTTTTACATCTTTTTTGTTGTTTGGGTTTGTTTTTAATCATCTTATTAGGGGCTTATACAACTCTTATCACAATCCATACATACATCATTTGTGTCAAGCACATTTGTACATTCATTGCCCTCCTCATTCTCAAAGCATCCACTCTCCACCCAAGCCCCTCCCCGCATCAGCTCCTCATTTTTCCCCTCCCTCCCCGCTGCCCCCACTCTCATGAACCCTTGATAATTTACAAATTATTATTTTGTCATATCTTGCACTGTCAGACGTCTCCCTTCACCCACTTTTCTGTTGTTTCTCCCCCAGGGAGGAGGTCACATGTAGATCCTTGTAATCGGTTCCCCCTTTGCAACCCACCCTCCTTCCACCCTCCCATATTGCCACTCTCACCACTGGTCCTGAAGGGATCATTCACCCTGGATTCCCCGTGTTTCCAGTTCCTTTCTGTATGGTTTTTTTTTTTCTTTTGTTTTTTGAAGTAGTTCTCCAGTAGTTTTTTGTTGTTGTTGTTCTGTTTTTCTAAGTAGTTCTCCTTGAATACCTTTGGGTGGACTCAAACATTGAACTCTCTAATTATCAATTATATCGACAATTTATACTACCTAGGGACTCCCAATCATTGCTGGGTATGAATAAATTACAGTTTGTAAGGACCATGGGAAAGAAGCTAGGCACCTTCAGAGAAAACAATAAAGAGAAGATGATGGAAGGATCCACGGAAAGCTGTTATTTATGCATAGTTACCACTTCCCTAGATCCAGAACCAAGTCAATGATGGGCATGGAACCCGTTCAGCATAAGTGCTGGAAGTCAGGTGGGGAAGAAACAAAACAAGCGAATAACCACAACAAAAAATGGATGCTGAGAGAGAACCTGTTGGTTTCTCTCTGATGCTCTTAAGAGACTAATGGTACTCCTTCTCTTTAGCAATTTGTAGGAGAATCTGGAAAATGTAGGATCACCTAAACCAAGTTGACATAATACAAACTACCATGGTAACGAATGACATCTACTTGGTCAATAGTGTCCCTGATGTTTTTTGTGGCAATTGAAATCATTTCATGTGACTCTATTTTAGAAAATTATAATACTTTCAAAAGCCTCATCTCTTATTCACTTTTGTTGTCAACAGTTTTGCCCAGATTTGAGGTTCAAGTGAAATTACCTAACACAATTCGTTTCCTAGATGAAGAATTTGAAGTATCTGTCTGTGGCCAGTAAGTTGCATCCCCGACTCCTCCCGCCAAATAATTTCTGTTTCCCTATTCTGTTTCAGAAGATTCATCTCAAATGACAGTTATTTGACTTTAAAGTACTTAAAATAACTTCCCAACTTGCCTGAGGCTATGCTAGCAAGCAGAAGTGTTAGCCTATGACACTTCTATTTTTCCCCTTTTGCTGTTGATTCTTATTCATAGAGATCTCATGAGTGTCCCTGTAGTTGAATTGTGCTCTGTAAGAATTGTTTGCTTTAATTTTTATTGTGAATTGGGTGAAGTCTTACAGAAAAGATAATTTCCATTTCAATGATTTGTGCACATTTTGTTTCATCTTATTAATTGCAATTCCCACCATGTAACATCTCCTCTTCCTTGTTTCTTGTTTCCATTCCTCCTTCTTTCCTCACCCTTCTGAACTGTCCACTTGGGCAAACTGTCCACTTTTGGTCTTAAATTGTTGATCTTTCTAAGGTGTGCATATCTCACTAGTGTTATGATAAGCCTGTGTAATGCTTGGCTGAAATTGAACCACGGGTGAGTTAGTTTGCAAACCTGAGGTGACTAAAGGGCTTCCAGTAGTCTCTATCTGCCCAGTAGACCTGGAGACCTGGTCTTCTTAGAATATAATTTATAGTTTTGTTCCATATTTTTCTCCTACCGTAACCAAGACCTCCTCGTGTGATCTATTTCAGAGTGTTGATAGTGGTTGCTGGGCAACAGCTAGTTTTTCTTGTGTCCTGGTCAAGGAAAATAATGTTCATGTGGTGTCTTAGTCCATTTTACTAGTTGTTTACTGGTTTATTTAATTTTCAACACTCTTTTTCCTTTTGGACAGGAAGAGGTCAATAGTTGCAACATAGATGAACCTAGCCATTAGTCATCAAAATAGAATGCAGAGTGTTGTCTCTGTGGACTATGTTATGCCAATATGGTCCTAAGCCACCAAGCCCAGGAACTCATTCCCTCAAGGTTTTTTATGATGTCTAAGAAATTTCATATTTTTGCCCCCTGCGTACTCTACCACATTCATAGCTCTATGTGTAGCAAAGTTACAGATATCCTCTGTCAACCCCATATGTATTTCTCAATATACTCCCACTACCCCTCCCATATCCATTCAGCTTGTATGCCTATTCTTGCATCTACCTCTAGAACATTGTTAGGATGGAATTGTATATAAAACCCGATTTCTCTCTGGTTCCTTTAACTCTTGCACTTCTCCCAGTGTCTTCTTTAGCATCCATCATTTTTGGCTGACCACCTACTTCCTGTTTATTGCTTTCCCCTTCACCGAAGGTAACCCCTGTCTACTTTCTACTCAGTTACGTCCCCTTTCTTTCCCTCTACTCCCTGTGAACCATCAAAGAACGCTTCTTTTAGTGTGAGAACCTGTTTAAAACTATTCATAATAGTGGTCTCATGCAACGTTTGTCCTTTTGTGCTCGACCATGTCACATACGATCATGAGCTTTTCTAGATCTATTTGGTGGCTTCTTTGATGAAGTGGTTCTTCGTGTGTTCAAGGTTCCCCCTGTGGTTTGTGGAAGATGACACATACAAAGAAAAACATACTCTATGTACTTGCACAGCTCAGCTCATCAAAACAGTGACAGTGTCCTACTAAATGCCCCACATGGGTGGGTCTTTCTTTTTTACTTTTACTGCCCATCCTCAGACTTACTTCCCTCCTCCTTCCTTCCCCAAGTCCAGTCCTAAGCCCTAGCCCATCATAGCCATCAAAGCCTTTTCCTTCGGTGTAAAAGCATTATTTTTCCTTTATAATAATGGTGTCATAAAATATTTGCCAAGAATTTCACTGTAAAGTAGTATCTCATTGTCTTCTTAATTTGTATTTATCTTAAGCCTAATGAACATGAGAGCATTTCTTCGTATAATTATTGGCCACCTGATGTCATCTTAGGAAATTGTCTATTCAAGCCTTGGGTTCATTTTTTGACTGGGTTACATGTATTTTTTTCCCATTAAAGTATTGTAGTTTTCTATAGATTTTCAAAATTAGCCCTTTATCTTATATATCATTGCCAAATATTTTCCAAATCTATGAGTTCTCGTTGACTCTTTTGTTGAATTCTTTTCATGCACATAAATGGCGCATTGTTAGAAGGTCCTGGTCCTCTATTTTCTTTTCTGTAACATGAGTGTTTTCATTGTTCGGTGATGTGCATTGTATTAAGAACCTTGCGTTTGTCCCTATTTTTTCATTGATGTTCCTTATGTTCCAGAGTTTATATTTAGGTCTTTAATCTAACTTGAGTTTGATTTTGTACATAGTATGAGTTGGTTACGGGTCCTATTTCATTCTTTTACCGATGGATATTCAATTTTCCCAGTATGTTTTACTAAAAAGGCATCTTCTTTCCCACTTAAAATATTTTAGGCCTTTGTCAAAATCAGGTGTCTGCAGATGTTTGGTTATATTTTTAGTTTCTCTGTTCTAATCCATGGGTCTACATATCTATCGTTGTACCAACACCAAGCTATTTTGATTACTGAGGCTGCAGAATAGGCTTTAAATTGGGGAGTGAAAGGCCTCCTACTTGTTTGTTTTTATAATAGTGTTTTGCTTATCCTTGATGTATTTCCTTTCCATATAAAGTTAGTGATTATTTTTCCCATTTCTTTGAAGAATAGTGCTGCGATTTATACTGGAAATTGCATTGAATTTATGGAGTGCTTTTGGTAATATTGACATTTTCTGTATATTAAGTCTTCTTATTCATGAGCATGGAGCATTCCTCCATTTGAATAAGTCTATTTTGGTTTCTTGTAGAGTGTTTTCTGTGTAGTAGTCTTTTGTTTCTCTGTTAAGATTTATTCCTAAGTATTTTACTTCTTGGTTGGTTATTATAAATGGTATTGTTGTTCTATTTATCTTTGGGGGCTTCTTTTCTTTCAAATACAAGAATCTAATTGATTTTCATATGTTGATCTTATAGCCTGCTACGTTGACAATTTTTTTAATTAGTTGCAGAAAAATTTTTATTGAATCTTTGGGGTTTTCTCCATATAAGATTCTGCCATCTGCAAATAAAGACAGCTTTTTTCTGTGCCAGTGGATATGCATTTAATATCTTTTTTTATGTCACATAGTTCTAGCTAAAACTTACAGGACTATATTCAATAAGAAAAAATGATGCTAATTAGCAATCTTGTCTGATTCCCATTCTAAAGAGAAAAGTTTTTAAATTCACTCCATTAAGTGAAATGCTAGTCACTGATTTTGCTTTATTATGTTGAGGAATTTCCCTTCTGTTCCTATTTTATTAAGTATTTTTAACAAGAATAGATGTGAGTTTTGCCAAATGCCTTTTCTGCATTTATTGATACAGTCATATGGTCCTTTTCCTTTATTTTGTTTATGTAATGGATAATATTAATTATTTTTCTAATATTGGACCATCTTTGTATATCTGGTATGAATCACATTTGATCATGATTATTAATTTTTAAATGTTTTATTGAATTCGGTTGGTTAGATTTTTGTTGAAAATTGTGATGTCTATATTCATTGGGGATATTGGTCTATAATTTTCAATTAAAATTCTGGTGATGTCTTTGCCTGGGTTAGGCATTAGGGTTATACTGGCTTCATAAAATGAGTTTAGTAATATATTATCCTTCTCTGTATTCTGAAATAGTTTATGTAGGATTGGTGTTAACATGTCTCTAAAACTTGCTAGAATTACTCAATAAAACAATCTGGCCCAGACTTTTTGATGGTGAGAGTTTTCTGTTTTGTTTTTATTGTAACAGTCTTATTGACCTATAATTAACATATCGTGCAGTTCAATAGTTTTAGAATATTAAAAAGGGATGTGGAATCATCACTACAATCGATTTTAGAATATTTATTTCTTCCTTGTACTCATTATTTATTTGCTCACAACGTCCATCCCACCTCCCCTGACATAAGCCCAAGAAACTATTCATACACTTACTGTATCTATAGATTTACCTATCCTGAGTTTTCCATAGAGAAAAACATACAAAACCAAAAAGAAAACCCAGTAACAAAAATAAGACATAGGAAAAGCTCAGATGAAAAATGAGAGAAAATAATAAAAACTATAACAAATGTTAAATGGACCAACAATGATAAGGTATTACATTTTCCTTGAACTACATCTGTATTTATCCACTTTACAATGCACTCAGTCTGACAGCAAGGCTCTCCACATCCCTGGCCAAGGGTCAGAGGGGATTCACTGGAAGCTTAATCCAAGTGGGGGCCCTGCAAATGGATGATGAGCTTTCACTGTCATTCATAGTCTTCTGAAAACTGGGTGCTCAGAATTTAAGCTCTAATACCATTCCTACCTCTGGCCTTGGACTTTATTATTTACAGTTTATAAAGATTTCTTGTCTGTGGATTTTAATTATAGGAATTATCTTAGAAAATCTATGATTTCCCCCTTCATATGGGTGGTGGTATACAGATATGTTAGAATGAGGCAATTAGCAGTGTTGGCTCTACTGTGTAAACCAAGACAGGCTAATCTTTGTACTTATGTCACAAGGAAAGTTTTATTTTCCAAATGTAATAAAAGTAGTCAGAATTACCAAGATTGGGAATATTTCTTCTAAGTGGTAAACATGAAATATTTGTAAACTATAGAAATCTATAAATAAACTCAAAAATTCATTCAGAAGGGCTGTTTAAGTAAGACATTCCATTTTACTAAGAGAATTATAAAATACAAATCTGCCTCATGTGCTTAACAAGGAAAATATACACTGTTTGATATATACTAGTATTGACATCAGATAACTAAGTGATCCTGAAGGCTATAATATGAACACTATCCCACTTCTCCTTTGTTTATGCTGCTGACTGAGAATGAAAGAAACAAATGGAAGAATTCGTCACAGGATTCCTTGTGACAATTTGTAGAGTCCACAGCCTCTTTTCTGGTGTCAAAGATAAGATTCTCTAATGTGGAATCAGAATTAATTTGCTGCTCTGCTGGCCATAGTATGAATATTGCCACAAACCTTTGAGGGCAGGTATTTCATAATGAGGTTGCAAATGGCAGTTCTTGTCCTCTTGGTGCTTTGGAAAGAGCCAAGAATGTGAAAGTTCCCATCAGCCAGAACAACTGTGTCTGTGTCACATTCTCTGTGGTGATTTGGTTTTTCCATCATTTGCCAGTGATTGGTCCGATTGCCCTCAAGAGGCCGTCTCCCTTTGAAGGCTTAACCTGTATGATTTCGAAAGACCCTGGGAAGAAGTTGTCCAGTTTGAGAAGAACAAGGGCGACCTCCTCTGGCCAAAGAGCAATCGCTGGGCACCTGCCGTAGATTTCCAATAGTCAAGAGTTCAGTGTTAGTCTGTCTCAAGCAAGAGCCAAAGGCAGGAAATAAATACTGTCCCTTTCAAAATTCTTGTTGAGAGATTGGCTCCAGAGTCCTCCAGGAGGGCTGGGCAACAATCAATACAATAAACATGAAGGGGTGAGAAGATACATTCCAGACACTGCGCCACACGAGTAGAATGAGGGAGAAGTACTAATGTCCTCTGTGGTGCAAGTTAAGGGGGAATGTGGGATCTATGTGCATATATTCATAGGTTAAGTATTAAGGTAGCAGATGGACATTGGGCCTCTACTCAAGTCCTCCCTCAATGCAAGAATACTTTGTTCTATTAACTTTGCGTTCTGTGATGCTCACTTTCCCTACACAACCGCTGAAGACAAAGCGGGTGAATAAGCAAAGGTGGTGAAAGCTGATGGTGCCCGCCTATCAAATGATATAGCATCTGGGGTCTTAAAAGCTTGAAGGTAAACAAGTGGCCATCTAGCTCAGAAGCAACAAAGCCCACATGGAAGAAGTACACCAGCCTGTGTGATCACGAGGTGCCGAAGGGATCAGTTATCTGGCATCAAAGAACAAAAAATCAAATCATTGTGAATGAGGGGAATTGTGGATTGGAGACCCAAAACCCATCTGTAGGCAACTGGACATCCCCTTACAGAAAGGTCTTGGGGAGAAGACCAGCCAGTCAGGGTGCAGTGAAGCAGTGATGAAACATACAATTTCCCTCTAGTTCTTAAATGCTTCCTCCCACCACTATCATGATCCCAATTCTATCTTACAAATCTGGCTACACCATAGGATGTACACTGGTACAGATAAGAACTGGAAACACAGGGAATCCAAGACAGATGAACCCCTCAGGACCAATAATGAGAGTAGCGATACCAGGAGGGTAAGGGGAAGGTGGGGTAGAAAGGGGGAACGGATCACAAGGATCTACATATAACCCCCTCCCTGGGGGACGGGCAACAGAAAAGTGGGTGGAGGGAGGCATCAAACAGTGTAAGACAAAATAGCAATAATTTATAAATTATCAAGGGTTCATGAGGGAGGGGGGCAGGAAGGGCGAGGAAAAAAGGAGGAACTGATACCAAGGGCTCAAGTAGAGAGAAAATATTTTGAGAATGATAATGGCAACAAATGTACAAATGAGCTTGACACAATGGATGTGTATCTGGATTGTAATAAGAGGTGTACAAGCCCCCCAAAAATGATTTAAAAAGGAAAAAAAGGAGGAACTGATAACAAGGGTTCAGTGGAAAGTAAATGTCTAGAAAAGAATGATGGCAATATATGTATAAATATGCGTGGTACAATTGATGTATGGATTGTTATGAGTTGTAAGAGCTCCCAATAATATCTTTTAATAAAGAAATAAAAAAGGGCAAATGTGGGGACAAGGTGTCAACTCACCCTTGCCCTTCTTCTCTGCTGAACGCCGCACATCCTTCTGGGGCTGCACGGAGTCTGTGGCTTTTTAGGAAGTTCTTTGTGGTGACCCCTCCCTCTGAAACACCGAGATAAACTTGTTAAAGGTTCTTCTACTCAGGTTCTTGAGCCTCCTCCATTTTTTCAAAAGTCTTCTTTGAAAAGGATTTCACACAGCCTTCAATTATGTGGCCATAATTAGACTGAACTCCTTTGGCTATTTTTAATTTGAATTGTCTTTTCTTGTTGAACGGTTGACCTTATCTATCCATTTTAGCGATTAATCCTTAGTCTGATAGGTCATTGCTCCAACATTTTTCTGTCTGGGAGTTCTCTATTTACTCCTGTCGTCCAATCTTTTGATGCACACAACTGTCTGATTTTTATGGGGTCCCAGTCATTTAGCTAATCTTCTGGGATTTGAATGTTTTTCATGTTGGTCGTATCTTATGCCATATATGAAGGCCTCCAAGTTTGCTGCTATTTTTTCATTGATGATCCACGTTTTACATTTATGTCTTTAATTTCTTGAGTTTGTTTTTTATATGATGTGAGATACAGGTCCTATTACCAGCACCATTTGTCAAAAAGACTATCTCTTTCCCCATTTGATGCATTTTGGAACTTTGTCAAGGATAAGCTACCTGTTGATGGATAGATTTACTTCTGGGCTCTCAATTATGTTTCCCCGGTCTATATGTCTATCACAGGACCCTTGTTCTAGTTTTGTCTTTATAGATTCATCTTTCAGTATGTAGCAGAGAATCTTCCCCACCCTCAAAGAGAGAAACTCTCTCTTGCTTTTGAAAACAAACAACAAACACGTTTTCATTTCACGAGGCTTGATGTTGAACGTTTTTCCACTAGAGAGAAATATTTTGGCTCATATTTTAAAATAAGTTTCAGCAAAGTGATTAAACTTGTTGAAAAATTTATTACTTGTCAGAAATTATAGGGACTTGAGGGGGTGGGGAAGAAGCATGAGAACATGAACCTTGGGGAGCTGAGGACAAACCTCACCTACTCCACAGTTTGAACTATGGCATTAGGTTCAAGATTGGAATGGGCAGTTCCACTTCCAGAGATTCTAAACAAAAATCTAAGCAGAGATCCTATAATCTGTATCTCAGCATGTATCCCAAATAATTGCAATGTAGGGGCCCGTTAAAAAGGAGGGGTTGTGCATTTTTATTTAAAGAACACAGGCTAAGATCAACTTTGTGTCATTTTCTTCCACCAAATGTTTAACAAATCACACTGATTCATTACAATACTGTTCATATGCAGCATTTGTTTCTATTTTTGCTTGTCTATCTAACTTTTCATTTATTTTCTTTTAAAAAAATACGAGTTGTAAGATAGATGAACCTGAAGATACTATGCTGAGTGAAATAAATCAATGAGACCTTAATTATAAGCTTTCCAAACAAGCAAATACATTAAGTTTGAGAGGACTTAAAAAATGCACTTTATATATCCTAATATAATTCTTAGGTTGAATAAGATGAATATATTCACGGATTAAATAAGGTGAAGAAAAGCCTGGGTAATTTATGTTAAATATCCGGTGTTTTATGGTGACTTTTTTGTTATAGATACACATATGGAAAGCCTGTCCCTGGTCTGGTGACTATCAATGTATGCAGAAGAGATTCGCAATACTATTCGCCCTGTCCAGGTACACATTCAAGAGTTATCTGCGATGAATTCAGTCAGCAGGTATGTGGAAACTACTCTCCCCAGCACAGTAGTCCATCACTTTGTTAGCACACTGAATGTAAGATTGTCTGGCAGTGTTAGGGCCCCCCTTGAGAGTTGCTGTTGTTCTCCAGTGGTTTTGAGTATTGGGATGAGGATGGAGCATAAATTATAGTAAAATTTATTTGGCCAATTTTGTGATTTCCTTGTAGCACTAATAAACACTCCAGGTGTAGTTAAACAAAAAAAGGGCGTGTCTCAGGTTGACTTTTGTCAAACAGACCAAACAAAAACCAAACCCAATGCCATTGAATTGATTCCAACTCGTAGTGACCAGAGAAGACAAAGAGGAACTTCCCCTGTGGGTTTCCAACACCATAGAAATCCTTCTTTCTCCCATTGAGCAGCTAGTGGTTTTGAACTTCTGACTTTATAGCTAGCAGCTTAACACATAAGTCACTATACCCCCAGGAATCCTTCTGTCAAGCAGACAGTCGAAGAAATATATGTTCTGTGCTAAGAATTTGCCTCATAGGAAAATCTAAAAGGCATAGATCAAGAAGAAGATTAAAAAAATATTAAATCATCAGTGAGTTGAGGAGGAATATATAAAAGGACAATAGACTGAAGGCTCCAATTACACAAATAAAGATGTGCAATAAGAAAAAAATAATTAACGGAATCAGGTGAAAGCAGAAAATGCAAAAGTAGAAAAATAGAATGATTGCATAAAGCAGAATGCTTAAAAGAAAGCAAGTTGAAGACGGTCCGAAAAGTTTGTGTAAAAATGGAATTAAAAGATAATGGATCTGAAGTCTTAAAGACCTGAAGATAAACAAGCAACCATCTAGCTGAGAAACAACAAAACCCACATGGAAGAAACACACTAGGCTGTCCCAACTTGATTGCTCAGGACAAGGTGGGTGCATAAACAAAAGTGGTGAAGTAAGCTGATAGTGCCCGACTGTCAAATGATATAGTGTCTGGGGTCTTAAAGGCTTGATGATAAGCAGGCGGCCATCTAGCTAAGAAACAACAAAACCCACATGGAAAAAGCACACCAGCCTACCCCGACATGAATGCTGAAGACAAAGCGGGTGCATAGGCAAATTCGGTGAAGAAAGCTGACGGTGCCCAGCTGTCAAAAGATATGGCATCTGGGGTCTTATAGGCTGGAGGATAAACAAGGGGCCATCTAACTGAGAATCAACAAAGCCCACATGGAAGAAGTAGACCAGCCTGTGAGATCACAAGGCGTTGAAGGGATCAGGTATCAAAGACAAAAAAAAAAAATCATAGCATTGTGAATGAGGGGGAGTGCGGAGTGGGGACCCAGGGCCCCAACTGTAGGAAATTGGACATCCCCTTGCAGAAGGGCTGCGGGGAGGAGACAAGCCAGTCAGGGTGCAGTGTAGCAATGATGAAATATACAATTTTCCTCTAGTTTTTGAATGCTTCCTTCCACCCACTACCATGATCCCAATTCTACTTTACATATCCGGCTGGACCGGGGGATGTACACTGGTACAGATAAGAACTGGAAATACAGGGAATTCAGGACAGATGAACCCCTCAGGACCAGTGGTGAGAGTTGCGACATTGGGAGGGTGGAGGGAAGATGAGGGAGAAAGGGGGAATAGATTACAACCTCCTCCCTGGGGGACAGACAGCGGAGAAGTGGGTGAGGGGAGACGTTGGATGGTGTAAGACATGACAAAATAATAATAATTTATAAATTATCAAGGGTTCAGGAGGAAGAAGGGAGAAGGGAGGGAGGGGGAAAATGAGGAGCTGATACCAAGGGCTCAAGTAGAAAGCAGGTGTTTTGAGAATGATGATGGCAACATATATACAAATGTGCTTGACACAATTGATGTATGTATGGATTGTGATAAGAGTTGTATGAGACCCTAATAAAATGATACCCAAAAAAGGTAATGGAATTGATTAATGAAGAAAATTCATATAATAATTGAACTTGGGAAGGATAAGCACCAAAACAGTGACTAGAGCGTTTGCTGAGTTTCCTTCTATGAACCATGAACAATTTTTCTGCCCCCGATTTCTGACTTTCTGATTGTGATTCAGGGGATTTTTTTTTAACCTTTTGTGTTAGTCTGGGTATTTTAGAGAAACAAATCCACAGAAACTCATGTATAAGAGAGTTTTATAAAAAGGTTAAGTGCACATCAAGAAAACATCCCAACCCAGTGCTGCCCAAGCCTACAAGTCCAACATTAACCCATATGTCTGCCACCAATCCACAAAGTCCTCCTCTATCTCACAAAACACACACTATGACGCCAACTGCAGGAGGAAAGCCGAAGCAGTGAACATGTAAGCATCTCAGCACTGGCAGGGGTCTCCACAAGGCTGTTCCAGCACCCAGGGCTGCATCAAGGTAGATCCATGCGTCCTCTCCTTGGGGATGTCTTGCAGGAAGTGAGCCTTGCAAGCTGAAGCAGGGAACTGGCTAAGGCAGCTGCACCCTGGTCCAACCATCACAAAGCAAGAGACCCAAGAACTAGAAAGGCGAGGCTCACGAAGCCCTTTAGCCGTCTGCCCTTCAGTTAACCCCACATGTGTTTATCAGCCAGGCTGGCATAATAAGCTTTAACTATCTCACCTTTCTTTCTTTGCAGGCAGATAGTAAAGGCTGTTTCACAAAACTTATAAAAACGAAAAATTTTCACCTGGGATTGAAAGGGCTAGAGATGGCATTACAAGTGGAAGGCACAATCAAAGAGGAGGGAACAGGTTTGTATTGTTCCTAAATGCTTATTAATTTCATATAGTTATTACATTTTTATTCTATGAAAATTTTGTTGGGGATTATGAAAATGGTATGTATAGTTGTTACCCTCAAAGAGTTAAAAATGTAAAAATGAAATTACATTATGGAACTTCAAAAAGTTTGTGGAAATTTTTCATATCTTTTAGTTCTATTTCCTGTGAAGTTCTTGAAGGCCCTCCCACCCCATGTATGTACAAATAATCATCATAAAATTTTCACAAGAAAAGGGCAAATTAAGGGTCAAACAAATATGAAGGGAAAAGATAGAGTCAGAAAAAAAGCTTTGGAGATAAATTAACCTTTGAGCTCATTTCTATAGAATGGGTAATATTTTGCAAGATAATGATGTCTGGGGAAAGGATGAAGAACCAAGAACAAATGTATTCAATTTTGGAATAGTCTGCGATGTACCTTCATGCTTGGTTGCTGAGAAAAGTTAATCACATAAAGGAGGCTAGTCTTTATTCTAAAGATATTTGGATAGCTTCAGATATATATGAGGAATGGAATGACCTAAACAAAATGACATAATTGTAATAATTATAATTGTAATGATAATTCTAGAAGCCCTGAGTGCAAGGTAAAAGAAAAAAAATGATATATCCGCTGATAACTGGACCAATTCAGATGAAAAATCCAAACACCCTGTATTAGGATAACTATAAATACATGCAAATGAGAAATAAAATTTGTTGCTATCTTGAAGGTAAAAGCAATTGATCTTGTTAAAATATTTGATAGGTAAGGAAAATGTACAAAGAAGTAAAAAATGACCCTAATTATTCCAAATTTGGGCCATGGAAACTAGAAATACCATTAACCAAAATAAAGAGTGCTTGAAAAATTACAATCTTTCTAAGAATAGGTCAAATATAATTAATAACAATCTGGCATATCAAAGTAAATGAGGATTCATAGTCCAGCTGATATTTTAAAGAAAGGGAAAATAAAATCTGAATTAGAGATTTAAATTTTGGAGTCCTTCAAATTGTGTTCATGTCTACCTGTGATCACAGTGAATGCTACTGAAAATAAGCTCATCTTTCATTTCTAAATTTAAACTAGAGATAGGAAAAAGAGGGGTACTACAACAGACACTATTACCCTCAGGAAAGAGACAGTATTTTTTAAAGTCAGCATAATACAATTTGAATTCCTACAGATAAAGGAAAACTGAGATTGAACAATTTTTTTAGAAGTCACTAGAAGGAAGAATTTCTCTGAGAGTTCATATATGATGAAGCCTGAGAAAAGACTATTAAACTGGAATCGACTAAGATTATTTAAAATTTGATAGAGTAGTATTTTTAAAAATAATTTTATTGGGGGCTGTTACAGCTCATAACATGCCATACCATCAATTATTTCAAGCATATTTGTACATATGTTGACATCATAATTTTCTAAACATGTACTATCTATTTGAGCCCTTTTTTTCCCTTTCCCTCCCCCACCCCGCCACCCACCCTTGTGACCACTTAATAACATAAATTATTACTGTTTTCATGTCTTACCCCAAGCGCTATCTCCCTTCACCCACATCTCTGTTATACGTCCCCCTGGGGATAGTGAGGGGACGCAGAGTATGCATCGATCACTGTGATTGGTTCCCTTTTCCTTCCCTCATCCCCCCCACCCCCACCATCCCCAACCCTGGCTTCTCTCTACCTTCTTGGTATAGCTACTTCAAATCCTTCTCCTGAGAGGTTTATCTGACCTCGAGTCCATGTGTTGTGGACTCTAACTGTACCAGTGTACATGCTCTGGTCTAGCAGAACTGAAAAGCAGGACTGGGATCATGATAGTGGGGGGGTGAGGAAGCCTCAAAGACCCAGAGGGATATCGCATGTTTCATCAGTGCTATGCTGCGCCCTGGTTGACTCATCCCTTCCTGTGACTCTTCTGTGAGGGGATGTCCTATTGTCCACACATGGGTTTTGGGTCTCTGATCTGGCCCTCCTCATTCTCAACATATGTTTGCTTGTTTGTTTGTTTGTGGTCTTCTGGTGCCTCTGAAACTGATTCCGTCAACACCTCATGATCAAACAGGCTAGTGTGCTTCTTCCATGTGGGCTTGTTGCTTCTCTGCTAGATGGTTGTGTGTTTAACTTCAAACCTTTAAGACCTCAGACGCTATATCTTTTGATAGCCGGGCACCGTCAGCTTTCTTCACCACACTTTCTTATGCACCCATTATGTCTTCAGCAATCATGCTGGGAGGGTAAGCATCACAGAATATCAGGATTTTAGAACAAAGTGTTCTTGCGTTGAGGGAAGGCTTGAGCAGAGGCCCAAAGTCCATCCACTTCCTCTATGTATTGCCATATACATATAGGTACCTAGGCCTCTATAAAATAAATACCTCTGTGTTTACATAAGTGCACACCTATATTTATACCTGTATCCATAGCTCAGCTTCTTAGATCTTTTTTCTGTTTCCTTTTACCTTTCTCCTGTCCCACCATCATGCTTGCACTTCTTCTGCCTCTTAGTAATTCCTCTCAGCTAGATTGCTACTGCTCCAGTACCACTGGAATCTCTATGTCCTCCTTGTTTTTGCATTTAATTCCCCAGTTGTTCCCCTGTCTATGGTGTTGTTTGCCCACCCCCTCCTACCCTCAGGTCTCCCCAGAACCAGGAGTCCCATTGCTTTCTTCTTGTGCTCGCTTCCCATGCCTATCTTATATTAGTAGGCAAAACATCAATAACAGAGACAAAACAAAATATTGAATAAAAAGAGGAAAAGAAAAAAACCTAGCCAAAAAAGAAAAAAGCATGTGAATTCCAGGTCTGTTAGTTGACCTTTATGACTATCTCTCTGTCAGCCCTGGGGGGTTCCAGGAACTGCCCCAACTAGCCTGAAGTCTATTTGGGGATTTTGTGGCTTTGCTTTATTCCCATTGCTGGTCTGTTATGTTCCCTTCTTGGTTCACCCCACTGAGCGGGTGGTCAGAGCGGACACACTCCCTGCCTTGTGTGCCCATATTGAACTTTCACACAGTCTGCTCCAGCAAGGGGACATCATGTCTCAATCTGTTGTAGGCCCTACATCCTCGGCACCTCAGGGCTGTCAGGGAGTGTCAGTTTGGCTCTGATTGGGGCCTGCTGTGGAGACATAAACAATATCCTCCCCCTGGGTAGATTAGTGCCCTACTTCCCTAGTGCCATTGATAATCTTTGGTGGGGGGGTGTTCCCTCCTCTTTCTCCTCCCATTCCCTTTCCCCTCTTTATATTGGAATGGCATACACATTCTTGGGTTTGGTCTGTCTCACACCCAATTGCCTGTACCTCAGCCTGTAAAGTGTGAGGTAAGTGGCTTTTCTTCTATACCTACTGTGCTGATTATACTTACCTCAGTGGACTCATGTTGTACTTGATCTTTTGTGATTGGCTGACTTCGCTTTGCATAATTTCCTCCAACTCTTCCCATGAGACGATGTGCTTCATGAGATCATCAGTGCTTTTTTATTGATGCATAGCACTCCATTGTGTGCGTGTGCCAGAGTTTTCTTTTTAATCATTTTATTAGGGGCTCATACAACTCCCATCAAAATCTACACACATCAACTGTGTAAAGCATATTTGCACACCCATTGCCCTCCTCATCCCCCAAACACCTGCTCTCCACTTAAGCCCCTGGCACCAGGTCCCCCATTCCGCCACCCCTTGCCGCTCCCCCCTCCCTCACAAGCCCTTGACAACCTACAAACCATCACCCTGTCACATCTTGCCCTGTCCGACGTCTCCCCCCCACCCACTCCCCTGTTTCAGAGTTTTCTAATCCACTCATCTGTCGATGGAAATTTAGGTTGTTTCCAATTCTTCACAAATGTGGATTGCACCGCAATAAACATTGGAATGCAGATGACTGGTTATGGAATGTTTCTTACCTCTTCTGGGTATATGCCCAGTCGAAGGATTGCTGGGTCATCAGATAATTCAATTTCCATTTGCTTTAAATATCCCCATATGGCTTTTCATGTAGGCTGTACGTATCTACATGACCACCAGCAGTGGAGGAAAGTACCTATCTTATCACATCCCCTCCAACATTTGTTGCTGTGTGACTTTCTGATTTGGGTTATCCGATAGAGTCATATTTTAGATAATGAGAACAAAACACCCTTCATTGAAGAGAAAATGACTGGGTGCTGAATATACTTTGGACAGATTATCCATTAAAAGAATGATCCTGCTGGTGAAGTATTTTGCAAGAGAAATGTCAGCATCCTTCTAGACCCAAATGAAGAATCTCTGCTAGGTGGAACATGGAGGGATTCTGTGAAACCAAAGAACTGGACAAGCATATGAGTAGTGGTAAATTTTTGATGTGAAATTTAAGCTGATGGAGTCAAATAGCTCTATCTTGTAAATGTGAGGGGGGAAAAATCCTAAAAGAATAAGAAAAGAGAATGTGGGTAGAATTTTGTTATGATAATGTGAAGCTGCAATGGAAATAAAAGGTGAGTTTTGAATGCATGGGACAATTCAACTTTCCTGATTTCTTTTTCAGATTTGGAATTAACTGGGCACGGAAAATGTGAAATCACAAATCTCTTCAGCAGACTTGAGTTCATAAAAGTGGATTCATATTACAAACCTGGACTTCCTTTCTTTGGGGAGGTAAAATCTCTTTTCAACATAAACATAATTTAAGGGGTGAGATTAGAAAGAAAATGAATTTTCAAAAATTTCTAAAATCAAATTTTATTCCAAAATAAATACTTAGTTGGAATAAGAAATCACAGCCCAAATTTGAGAAGAAAATAGCCACAAAATCCAGGGGGGAACCCCCTTTTAAAAAACGTTCTATTGTGCATTGGGTGAAGGTTTACAGAGTAACTCTGGTTTACATTCAGTAATTCATACATATCTTATTTCATGTCATTGACTGTAATCCCCATAATCTGGCAATGCTTGTCCTTTTCCATATATTTCCTGTTTTCATTTCTCCTTCTTTCCTAGTCCCCCTGAACTTGGTCCTTGGGTAAATGTTGCCCTTTTGATTTTGCAGAGTTGTTATTATAATGTGTGAGTGCATCCCTAGTGCCTAGGGATATTGAAACGCAAAGGAATATTACTGAATGTTAAGGAATAACGATGCATCTGCAAAACACTTTGCAATATGGATCAACCTGGAGAGCATTTGCCAAGTGAAATAAATAGATAGAAAATGGATAAAGATTGTATAAGTATTATTATAAAATGTCAAGGAAATATGTTCACAGTAAAGGAAACATTCTTTGATGCCTACCAGGGTAGAAAGACAAGGAAAAGTAAATTGCTTACTAGACAATAGATCATGCTTTTAATAATTAACTTCCTAAAACATCTCTTTAATATTTTTCTATATAGTTTGGCTGCAACTCTTTGGTTACCTTTTTATAGACAACTATTTCATATTATAATTTTACATCGAAAGAATAAAATGATGGTTCAAATTATTTTTATTTTAATAATTTAGAAAGTTTCCTTCCAAATTAAAAGTTCAATTTGGTAAAGCAACTTTGGTAAGGTTTTAAAAATTAGGAAAGCAGCCATTTTATTTTATATAAGACATGTAAGATTTCTAGGTATTTTTAATTTTATTTTGTGATATCTAATCTTTGAATTGACCATTGCCACTGAATTGACTCATTTCAATGTCGTGTTTGTCTGTTTTTTAAATCTAGGTTTATTTTTTATTAAACAGAGAGATATTTACAACTGTTTGGCATATCCCCTTTTTCTGAGAGGTTTCAACACCCGAGAAGGCATGGGAAAACCCTTTGGAGCTTCACACAGGAAAGGTGTGATTAACAGTGGGCTCTCAGATGCCTGTGGTTAACGGCAGTCATCATCCTAACTGATCTATAGCCCAACACCTTTTCCCTTAGGATTTCTTTTCTAAAGACTTGCTGTTTTCTTGGAAAATGAACCCCTGTACAGAATCCTAACTTTGAAGTGTTTTCTAGTATAATGAACTATTTTCAAAATGGGTGCACAGGTCAACAACATTTGTATCACCTTGATAAAACAAAAATAAACAAGCCAATCACTGCCTTTGAGTTGATTCTGGCTCATGGCTAACTTGGAAGAGAGGGTAGAACTGCTCCACAAGGTTTTCAAGACAATAACTCTTCCCAGGAGCAGACAATCCCATCGTTCTCCCACAGAGTGGCCGGTGGACTCAAACCACTGAACTTATAGTCAGCAGTCTAACTGTTAATCCACTACACCAGTTCCATTCCCCTTCATAGAAAAAGATATATGTGGGCATTTTCCAGACTTCATACTCATCTCGACCCCACAGGGCAGAATAGAACCTCCCCGGTGGACTTTGAAGGCTATGACTCTTTACAAGAGTAGAAAGACACGGCATGTTTTTAATGTTATATGTTCTTCATTGCTTGTACTATGTCATATCATGTCAGCAAGAAATTGATAAATATGCAAATACATATGGGTAAGAGAATTTCCCACTGAGAGAAAAGCATGAGAAAACTGGAGGTTTGAAAGATGAGTAGGAATTGGCCAGAAATTTAAGCTGGACTAAGAATAAGGCTGCAAGAGAAAAGATTGCAATGAGTATGAAAAATATACATTGTGTTTTGAACAAGGATGTCATCAGTGGATTCTTTGGAAAGCAGTAGGATTAAAATATATTGAACAAATAAAAGAGATATCATTTGGCAACATAGACTATTAACAGAGATGAAAGGACCACCATGTACTGGACAGAGACCACAAGCGAAGCAGATTCAGGAATGTAGTATCATGAGCCCATATTTGCCTTGAGCTTTTCAAATTAAAATGTCAACTGGGAAAAATGGTCATTTAAAGCCCAGAAACTCTGTCTTATTGCCCAAGTCTTGGCTCTTCAGTAAGTAACAGGAAGTGACAGAATGGAATGTGCTATTGCTATAGGACGTTGGGAACGAGCTATCACTTTTGTATTCCTAGGTTCTTCTTGTGGATGAGAAGGGTCAAGCAATCCCCAATAAAACCCTAACTGCCCATGTGAATGATGCATACCAATTCAAGCAATTCAAGTACACTACAAATGAACATGGTTCAGTGAGGATATCCATCGATACCACCAACTTCAAGTCTTCTTATCTTACAGTTGTAGTAAGTAGTAAAGGGCATTGTGAATAGAAAAAGACAGGTCATTGGAGCCACAGGATTTAAAGAAATATAGGAATCATTTCATCTATAAAAATAAAGAGACGAATGATAAAAAGTAAAATAGGAGTTAGGAATTTGGAGACCTCTTTTATTTTTTAAAAATGCAACATTCTCCACGAGAAAATTTAATTTGGATAACTCTGTTTATGAAATGCACTACTTTCAGGAGGCATTAAATGAATCATCTTAACACTCTCCTGAAAAAAAAATGCCAACATAACTTAAGACGTAGTAGATTTTGTTTGATTTCTTTGGTATAATTCTGTTTTTGTTATATTTTGACTATTCAAATGATCTTGTGCAACGGACAGCCATCAGGGTTGTTAAGACAAAGTTAATGATCTTGATGTAGGTGAATAATATCAGGATGGCACAAACTTACATGACTTTAAGGAAAAGCTACTTATAGATTATTGTATTTGAGAAAGTGACCTTGTTTCATGATTCCTAGATATAAAATAAAGCATATTTAATGAATACATGTTATATTTTAATCGCAATAGCCTACTTAAGTCTTTTCCCCCCTTCTACTAGGTCACTTACAAACCAGCTCGTTCTTGTCATGATATGATGTGGCTTCAAGAATTGCATTCACAAGTGCATCACAATGCAAAGCGTCTTTTCTCCCCAAGCAGCAGTTACATCCACCTCGAGCCTTTTGGTGGTGTTTTGACCTGTGGACAAATGCACAAGGTTAACATGCACTATATCCTGAATGAAGAGATGCCGGAGAAACAGACAGAGTTAATTTTCTATTCTTTGGTAAGAAGTAATGCTACTCTAGCTCTTTCTAATTAAGTATCCTCTGAAAATGTAGAGTTCCTACAGAAGCAGTGCCCCTTTATAAGAGATCATAGCCATATTGATTTTTGTGTGTTTGTGCTTAAAGAGAAGTTATTTCATAGCAAGAATAGTTATGCCTTGCTATCCTATTTGTAGTCTCATAGCCAGTGACATTCCCAGGGTTTCTTGTTTCACTTTGCTTTTTCTGAGTTCCAATGGTTAAGTTTTGAGTTGGATAGGAGAGAGTCTAAAACAACAACTTGATTTATGAAAGAGAATTTTTTTCCTTAGAATTCTGTAGGTAAATATTCAGAAGATAAAAACCAATAATTAATTTAAAAGGAAATTAGATTATAGAAGCAACCCTCTGGGAAATATTCTTCCAACTCTGACATTAATTGGTACAATGAAAATCAAAACAGTATGACAATTTATACCCTATAAAACAAAACAAAGCCCTGTTACCATGAGTCAATTCCAATTCATAGAGACCCTATAGGACAGGGTGTAACTCCCCCCATAGTATTTTCAAAGCTATGGTTTTTAATGGAAGCAGATTGCCACATTTTTTCCCCAGGGAGCAGCTGGGGGGTCCAAATCCCTGCCAAACTTTCAGTTAACAAATAAACCTTTAACCATTGCTTCACCAGCACTCCTTTCATACCTGAAAATTTTCTAAATAATGTACACAACTCATGACTGGTGTGTAATTACCTTTCTCCCAAGGTACATGGACAGCCATATCCTACACTGGCACATAGAAAATGGTGATCGTGATAGGATTCGCATCAGAATCTAACTTCAAGGGCATAAAGCCGTCAAGATCACCCCAAGACTGATACGTGTGAAGTGAAAGTTAAATATACCTCCATTTTCCAACTTTTATTTTGACCTTTAAACAACTCCAGATTTTATAGACAGATGTATCTTAATTAGATTGGATACAATTTATAGAGGTAAATTAAACAAAGCAGTGAGTCTCAGTTCAAATGACCCCTTATAAGGGGTTTATAAACCCCTTATAAATATTGTTGTTTATAAACAACAATATTGTCTGCTTATAGCCAAAAAGACAAATTTGGCATTAAAGTACTAGGATTAGTTTGTTATTTAAGATATATACATAAAAAATTAAAGAGAAAACAAAACAAACAAAGATTTTTATCTATGAACACACAGAACAGTAAAAATTTCCTGGAGATTCTTAAGCCATTAAGGAAAGGGTTTGAGATGGGAATAACAGGTCATTTAATCTTGTTTCCTAATTCAAGACAATTGCTTTCCCATTTTTTCTCAATTTACACTTTTTTGGAGGAACTATTATCAAATTATAAATCTATTTTAGCCTTTCAAACTTTATCTCCTAGAAAGTTTTCTAGAGAGGAAAAACACACATAATTTTATTAGGGCACTGAAATTCATGTGGAGTTAGGTGTTTCGCAAACTCTTCTCAGAATTACATCGCAAGGAATCATTGTTGCCTTGGTGCATTTTTCAGAGAAGTATCAACTACCCCCCTTCCCCTCCACTGAGGGACCGCCTGACCTTTCAAGCACAAGTGAATTCAGGCTGTACCCCAACCCCACACCACTTTGTGACACTGAAATGTTCAATGTTCTGAGAACCTCCAGAGAATCAAATGTCTTCCTAGAAAATGCTAGGAATCACTCTTTTAGGGGATGCTGCCTCACAACCTTTTTATGAAGATTGAATATTTAAAGTTATTTTAGGGTTTCAAATCACTCTGAATGGGGGGGATTAAAACGTGAAATACAGAACATTAGTATTAATTACTTGCATGTGCTTATGGGCATACTTGGAAGGTGTCGTGCATGTCTGTGGAGGGAAGCTGGGATCAAATAAGGAAACCCACCTTCTGAGTAAGGGTGGTGGACAGACAAGTGGGCATCACCACCTGTGGTTGCAATGGCCTTGACTTTCTTGGTCAATAAAGAATGATTAGAATTATTAGATGAAAGGAACGTACTGATTCTCATCATTTTACTCCCTAATTCAAAAGGTAAAAATGCATAGATAACTGAAATGGACAAAGGCCTAATTGATTTCTAATGCTCATTTCTTTATCAACAAAAATAGGCAGACACCAAAATTCTCAAGTTATATTTTTATACTCCTCAGTTTATTCTAAAAACAATCTTGACTTATACATTCAAATGATTTTGAGATTACAGTGACCTCAAGGCACAAATATCCATATTCTCCTATAAATGTAGTAAACACTTCTGAAATAACTCATTGACATATCAATATGTCAGCTTTTTAAAGCATCTCTCCCCCGCTCTAAGTCTATTGATCTATTTGACATTTGGGATAACCCAAAATGCATATACAAAAAGACATGTTTGTCAAATTACAGTAAGACTAAACAGCATGTAGTATCCTTTTGATAAAATTGAATTTTCAGAGGGAAAGTGATTCAAATAGGAGCAACTAAGCTGGCTTCCTAAGGAAATAAACTAGATAAAAATTAAGAAGCATGAAAGGTGTGCAAGATGATTTCCACAATCCTTTACCTGTTCTTTTAACATAAAAGAGTGTGTGTAAATTAGAATACATCTCATCTAGGCTGGGGTGCCCTTGGCTGAGGAATGTCATTCAATGAAAGGCCCTGGGATAAAAAGATGAGAGGTAGTTTGTGGAGAAGTAGAGGATGCTTGTCCTTCATTAACATATTCATGTAACTTATTGGAGAGGTAGAACAGGCTATTTAAAAGTCTCAATTGGCCTGTTGTTGGCCAGAACCTTAAAGTGATGTTTTATTTCGTTATTCATTATCATCGTAATTAAGCAATTCCAAGTGAAAGCAGTCCTTAGATGTTTAACTGCAAGCACCAGATAATGATGCCATTTCAAAAGATGCACAAAATTTTCTATTTTGTTGTTTTACTACTTAGCTTATAATGAGGGTAAGTGGGAAGTTCAACTAACTGAGCAGAGTTAATGTACCCCATAAATCAAATGTTTATTCTTCTGCCAATCACAACTGATCCATCTACAGTCACTTTTCACATAAGAAACAGGAGGGCAACTGAAGAAGCAGCCGTGACTCTGAGCTATGGAACTAATGTGACTGCACCGACTGATGCTGCAGAGCATCGCGGGGAAGGTGCTCGTCACAGTAGGCCTTTAGCAGCAGTGAACGGTGCAGCTTTAGCTGGCCTTCTCCAAACGCCTCGCTACACCTAAGACACTGCTGGTACACAGGCTCAAAGTCAGAGACATTCCCATAATAGGGATCTTCAAGGATAAGTTGTTTGGGGGGATCATAGTTTCCAAGCAGTTCAGGTTTAGCTTTGCAGTTTTTAACTTGATTACCTTTTCTTGTCAGATCTCTCAGATTGCTTTCATCCATACACAGTATAAAATCAAATGTGGCAAAGTCTTCTTTGGTAATCTGCCGAGCAATGTGATTCATGGGGATACCATGCTTCTTCATGCAATTTTGCCCCCCGATAATCAGGAGGGTTTCTTATTTCATATGTGGATGTTACTGCACTGTCTATTCTCCACTTATCTAAAAGGTTTTGATCCGTTACAAGTTTTCTGAACACTGCTTCTGCAATAGGTGACCGACAAATGTTACCCAGGCATACAAACAGAACGGATTTGGGGGCCTGCTCAGCCATCTCTCCCACAGAGATGTGACCATTTTCCAACTTTTAAAAATCAGTTCTTACACCAGCTATTCCTCCCAAAGAATTCTCTACTTCTGTAAGTGGGGTAGATAACCAACGCACACAAAACTCACGGACTGTGTTGTGTTGTAGGGTTGTGTTTCATTAAGGAGCAGAGCACAACTCAGAGCCAAGATGAGGAAGCATGTTGTCAAAGTCTCTCTTCTTCAGTGTGACCCACTCTTTAAGCTCCTCCCAACCATGTAGGGCTCTTCTTAGTTCCTACAGACGGGCTCCTCTCAACCACTCCGGATATACAGTACTCCTTCTGGCTCCCCTATTTGTCACCCTTGCCTCTCTCAATGAGCCCCTTCTATGCCTCTCAGTGCTACAGCCCTTTACCTATTTCATAGCTCTCCAAAGGAGATGCTTTGTCTTCTCTCTCCCTTTGCTTCTTCTGTGTGTGTGTGTGTGCATACCTATTTTATATGTTCAAACAGCTCTGGATACACTAGCCAAAACCAAGGCTCCAGGAATGGACAGTATACCCATTGAAATGTTTCAGAAAACTGAAGAAGCACTAGAGACACTCATTTAGCTCTGCCAGGAAATTTGGAAGACAGCTACTTGGCCAACTGACTGGAAAAATCCATATTTGTTCCCATTCCAAAGAAAGGTGGCCCAACAAAATGCTCAAACTATAGAGTGATAACATTGATATCACACACAAGTAAAATTTTGCTTAAGATCGTCCAACAACAGTTGCAGAAACACATTGTCGGGGAACTATCAGAAGTTCAGGCTGGATTCAGAAGAGGACACAGGACAAGGGATATCGTTGCTGATGTCAGAGGGCTCTTGGCTCAAAGCAGAGAATGCCAGAAGATGTTTCTGTTTCATGGACTGTGCAGAGGCATTTGACTGTATGAACCATACTACACGGTGGATAATCTTGAGATGAATGGGAATTCCGAACACTTCTTTGTGTTTCTTCAGGACTAGGACGTGGATCAAGGGGCAGTTGTGCAAACAGAACAAGGGAATATTGCATGGTTTAAAATCAGGAAAGGTGTGCATCATGCTTGAATCCTCTTACCATACTTGTTCAATCTATATGCTGAGCACAGCATCAGAGAATCTGGATTATAGGAAGAAAAGGGAGGCATCAGGATGGGAGGAAGGCTTATTAATAACCTGCGGAACGAAAATGACACAAACGTGCTTGCTGAAAGTGAGGAGGAACTGAAGCACTTGCTGATGAAGATCAAGGATTATAGCCTTTGGTATGGATTACAACTCAATGTAAGGAAGATCACAATCCTCACAACTGGACCAATAAGTAACATCATGATTAATAGAAAAAAGGTTGAAGTTGTCAAGGATTTTGTCTTGCTCATATCCACACAATCAATGCTCATAGAGGCAACAGTCAAGCGATCAAAAGCCATATTGCATTCGGTAAATTTGCTGCACAAGACATCTTTAGACTATTGAAAGCAAGGATGTTACTTTGAGGACTAAGGTGTGCCTGATCCAAGTATTCTCCATGGCCTCATGTGCATGTGAAAGTTGGACACTGAATAAGGACGACCGTAAAGAATTGATGCCTTTGAATTGAGGTGCTGGAGAAGGCTATTGAAAGTACCATGGACTGCTAAAAGGACAAACCGGTCTATATTGGAGGAAGTAAGGTCAGAGTGCTCCTCAGAGGCAAAACTTCGTCTCACATACTTTGGACATATTGTCAGGAGAGACCAGTACCTGAAGAAGCACATCGTATTTGGGAAAATGTCGGGGCAATGAAAGAAAAGGAAAGCCCTTGGAGAGATGGATTGACACATTGCTGCAACAGTGGGCTCAAGCACAGGAACAACTGTGAGGTTCGCAGAGGACCACGCAGTGTTTTGTTCTTGGGTCACTATGGGTCAGAACTGACTCGATGGCACCTAACAACATCTTGGATGTCATCTACAGAAAAAGATTTTTAAAATAAACTAAATAACCAAAAAAACCTATAAGAAAACAAAGTAAAACACAAACATTTGGATCAAAAAGAAAGCAGAAAATATTAAAAGCTAGAATCAATTCAAATGGATCATAGGGGACAGCAAATGACAGAATGCTAACTTTTAACCTCACTGCATCTGCAACAATCAATTTGCCCATGCAGTTTGCATGAGGGCCAGACTATTCCCATCCCTGATCCACGGTCAGAGAGGATGCACCAGGGGCTTCATACACATGTATTTCCCCTTCACTCCCACCCCCACCCCCCCACCCCCCCGCAACTGCTTTAAACTGAGTCCAAAGGCAGATCAAATGATAGGATTTTGACCTAACTATGTCTGGCATAGTCAACTTTACAATGCTCTTGGCCTGCTTCACATCCTTCAACTATGATTGGAGAGGATTCAGCAGAGGTTTAATACGCGGATCCTGCAAATAAATGTTGGTTTTCCACTGACATCCGAAACCTTCTGCAAACCGAGTGTTCACAATGAAGCTCGGATCCCCCTCAGTTGTGTCCTTAGATTAGCAGTCTGCTTCTTCTCACACCAGGGAGTTTCGCCTGGAGTCCAATGCTTACCGGTGAGTTTGAGGGCAAGCCCAGTTCACTTCGTGGAGTTTCCTCAATGTCTCTCTGGTGTGGCCTTTGAAGGATGTTGTGTGCCTCAAAAGGACAGAGTCTAAAGTCCCAGGAGTCTATAGCACATGGACTGGGTCACCAAGGGCTACAGAGAAGCGAGGTCAAAAGTGTCCACTTAGAAACCTAGTACCAGATATATGCTCCCCTTGGGTCCTACCTAAGTATTGTTACGTGTTTTTGTGGGTTTTTTTCCCCATCAGGAGGTTGTTCCTCCCCATTTTCCTACCAACAAAAATGTAATTGCCTTCTCTGTGACATACTGCCCCACCCCCACCCCACACACACCCTTGACTTAAATTCCAGTAAGTTTTCTTTATCTGGTGGGAGTGTTGGTTGGATGGGTCACACAATTTTGTATAGCAGCAACCGAATAATCTTCTCCCTCTCCCCACATCTTGAAAAGCTGACCCTCACCAAGGTGAGGTCTCCTCTCTCAAAGTGGTTTCTAAGATGTACCTTTAAAGTGGGTGATATATGTCTCATGGACGCTAGGCAGACTCTGTACCTCAATGTCCTGGGAGCAGTCACCTGCCTGCATCTTGGTGTTTATCTTACAGTAGTGGACTCAATAGTTGTCCTTCTGTGATTGACTAACTTCACTTGCTGAATTTTGCTCTACTGATTTCCAGGCCCCTCCTTGTCATGAGATGTTTCTTTTTTTTTTTTTTTTTTAAGAGATGCAGTGTGTGTATGGACCAGGGTTTCTTTATCCATTCTTCCACTGATGGGCACTTAGTCTGTTTCCAGCTTCTTGCTATTGCAAACTGTGCTGCAAGGAACATAGGAGAGCACATGTCTATTTACATTCTGCCTCTTCTTTCTTTGGGGTATATGGCCAGCAGAAGTATTGCTGGGTCGTATGCTATTTCTATTTCAGTTGTGTTAAGAATTGTCAGATCACTTTCCACAACGGTTAACATATTTATTATTTTAAGGACAAAAATATACATAGAGAAATATATTAAATATGTGATGAAAATAACTTCCCATTTGGAACTGGGATTGTTATTTGTGTATTTTAAATGTATCAGCAAATATACATTAGAAGAATAATAAATGCATATCTCTTTATCTCCAGATCAAAGCAAAAGGAATCATCGTTCAGGCAGCAACTGCTTCAGTGCCCGTTGGACAAGGAAACAGTAAGCATTTTCAAGATCCCTGTATTGCTCTCATATCCTCCAATGTTGGATAATTTAGCATGGTAGGGCAAGTTGTGTTTTTTTAATGCCTGTCTACCCAATTGTTCAGCTATCTTATTTGGAATTAGATAATCTGACCATCATTTTTGCATACAACAATTTATCAAACCTCCCGGTAGCTTGCCCCGTATCCTTTCCTACATAGTGTATTATCTCCCCCTTCACTCAAGTTAACACCTGGCTACCCTTCCAGGGGTCCTCAAACGTTTTAAACAGGGGGCCAGTTCACTGTCTCTCAGACCTGTTGGAGGGCTGGACTATAGTTTTTAAAAAAACTACGAACAAATTCCTATGCACACTGCACATATCTTATTTTGAAGTATAAAACAAAATGGGGCAAAAACACCTGGCGGCCTGGATAAATGTCCCCTGCTCGGGGAACCTACTGCTTCCCCTTCCCTTCCCTCCTGGCTTCTCCACCCCTGTTAACTGGCAGAGTGTATGTCTGTTGGTATGAAAATGAGAGGGCTTTTCACAAGCAGAGTCACTAAGTTTCTGTCAACCAAAATGCAGCCGCAGATCAAACAGGATGGAATCATGGATTCATTCCAATCTACTTAGTACTTCTTTTTATAACATTTCTATATTTTAATTTCAGTTTTGAAGTGAAAATATACTCAACTTTACAATTAAACAACTTAAAATAAGGAAATTGCTTTTAAATTTTCATGTGTGTGTGTGTGTGAAAGAGAGATTTTTTAAATTTGTGGACAAATCCATTATCTTTTAATTCCATACATCCAGGAACTCTTTTTAAAAATCATTTTATTGGGGACTCTTACAGCTCTTATAACATTCCATACATCAGTTGTATCAAGCATATTTGTATGTATGTTGCCATCATCATTTCCAAAACCTTATCTACTTGAGTCCTTGGTTTAAGCTCCTCTTCCCCCACTTCCCCTACCCTCCCACTCTCATCAATCCTCGATCAATTATATATTATTAATATTGTTTCATATCTTACACTGTCTGTTGTCTCCCTTCACCCTCATTTCTATTACTTATCCCCTTGGGGGAGGGCTATATATCCAACCTTGTGATGGGTTCCCCCTTTCTCCCCCTTCCCCCTCCCCAACCAACCCCCTACCCACATGATCTCACTACTGTTCTTGAGGGGTTTATCTGTGCTGAATTCCATGTGTTGAGAGCTCTTATCTGTACCAATGTGTGTTCTCTGGTCTAGCCAGATTTGTAAGGTAGAACTGGTTCATAGTAGTGGGGTGGAGGAAAGCATTCAGGAACTAGAGGAATGATGTGTGATTCATTGATGCTATACTACACCTTGGTTGAATCATCCCTTCCTTATAACCCTTCTGTGGGGGGGATATCCAATTGTCTACAGAGGGCCTTTGGGTCTCCACTCCAAGCCCCCTCTTTCACATAGATGTTGGTTTTGGATCTTGATAAGGGAACAACAAGAGATCTAAAATTGATGACAAGGAGGGTGTATAATGCCTGGTGGGGTTTAATCAAGTGCAATGTATCTGAGAGGAATTAACCAAATGGGGGGTGAGCATGATAGTGGGATAGGAGGAAGGTGAAAGGAAATAAATAGGAGGGAAATGCTATTTATAGAGGTATAGCTATAGGCATATGTATATGTAAATACATCAATTTATAATGAAAGGGATAGAGACCAATGTACATTCATTTATATGTTAAATATTAAGATAGCAGACAGACTTTGGGCCTCTACTCAAGGCCTCCCTTAACACAAGAACACTTTGTTCTCATAACCTGGAAATCCTTGATACTCACCTTCCCAACATAATCACTGAAGACAAAAAGGGTGTATAAGCAAATGTGGTGAAGAGAGCAGATGGTGCCTGGCTATTGAAAGATATAGCATCTGGGGTCTTAAAGGCTTGAAGGTAAACAAGCAGCCATCTAGCAGGGAAGCACAAAAGCCTAGATAGAAGAAGCACACCAGCCTGTGTGATCATGAGCTGTCTATGGGATCAAGTGTCAGGCATCAAAGATCATCCAAGAATTCCTTGAAGTGTGTGTGTGTGTGTGTGTGTGTGTGTGTTTAAGATATCTCACTGGGCTAAAATATAAATGTCATTAGAACTGAATTATTTTTGGAGTACTACAAGAGAATCTGTTTCTTTGCCTTTTCCAGCTTCTGGAAGCGGCTTCACTATTCCATAGATTTTTGCCCATTTCTCTATCTTCAAAGCCAATATATTTAAATCACTCACACTCACACACTCTCATCCCAATCTCCTCTATTAAAAATCCTTATGATTACAATGGGTTTTTACTGATTACCCAGGGATAATCTTCCATCTCAAGATCCTTAATATAACTATGATTACAAAGTCTCTTTTGCTATATAAGGTAAGAGTTTGGGAAAATAGATGGAGTTATTTTGGGGGGGTCAATATTCAGCCAGTCACAATCCTTTTGTCCCAAAGATTAACACCCATCCAACATGCAGACTGCATTCACTTCAAACCAACATCCCCAGAGCTTCCATTAACCCAAACCCCAAATCTCATCCAAAATTTCATCAGCTCAGTCATCTAAGTTAGATATGGGGGAGGTCCTGAATAGAAATAGTTTTAGTAAAAGGAGTCCCTAGTCTCAAACAATTTTGAAATCCAGCTAGATAAACAGCATACTATTTCAAGGCCTGAGAACAATTCTCTAGTGGGCCATGTCTCTTCCTTTTTCAATATCTTTAGATGCTGTGGGAGATGCGAATCAAAGTTGATTTTAAAAATATGAATATCCAATAGCATAATAAACATTTTAAGCAATTTAGAAATTCATAACTGTGACAGCTGGATTTTGAAAATGCATGACAGCTAAGTTGTGAAACAATTTCCCCAAATATGGATATTTAAAAAAATAATAGCCCTTTAGGTCCTGCTAAATCTCCATAATAGGACTTTTAGAATAAAGTCTTATGAAAAGATGTTTCATTTCCTCAAGATGTGCAGTCACCACATAGATGCACCACTGGAGGTGCTCCCTCCTCTCAGACATTTGGTAAGATTTTATAACCTAAAAAGAGCTCATGGCGAGCAGGGGCACCGCAGCTTTTCAGTGGTTGTGGCATGCTCATGATGCTGGCGAATCTCTCTCACTAATTCCTGTTTTCCAGGAAGAAAAAGAATGTTCGGAAACTGATTGTGGTAGCAGTTGTACAACACTACTTGACATGATTGAACTGTGGAGTGATGTGATATATGTATTAACTCACAATTAATAATAAGTTTTAAAAAAATAAATGTCTTCTTGGTTTTTCAAAATCCATTCCTGCAAATAAAGAACATTACTGCTAAATTTACATTTCATCTTTCATTGATGGGGCTGAAAATTAGACTGATGTTTCTAGAGCAGTTAAGGTTGCTCCTAAAAGCATATCCAAAAACATAAAGCCATTTCCTCAAATATACTTTTTATTTCTCTCACTGCCATTGAGTCCATTTCTAACTCATATTGACCCAATAGGACGAAGAACTGCCCTCTATGGATTTCTGAGAGTGTAAATGTTTCCAGGAGTAGAAAGGTTCATCTACCTCCTGAGAAATGGCTGGTGGTTTCAAACAGCTAACCTCAAAGTTAGCAACCCAGTTTATAAACCACTGCACCACCCGGGCTCCTTCTTATACTTTTATGTTTGCTCACAATAGAGTGTAGATTCTCTATAATTTGAACACTAGAGAGGTGCAGCCCACTGAGGACATTTATCCGGCCCACTGGGTGTTTTTGCCCCATTTGTTTTTTTGCTTCAAAATAAGATATGTGCAGTGTGCATAGGAATTTGTTCATAGTTTTTTTTTAAACTATAGTCTGGCCCTCCAACAGGTCTGAGGGACAGTGAACTGGCCCCCTGTTTAAAAAGTTTGAGGACCCCTGGTTTAATCCTTTGTGCCACTGGGGAACCTTCATTTTCATCATTAGCTGTCCTTCAATTTTGTATACAGAATGTTAAAGTTTTTAAACTTGGCCACAAAGATCAAACCTTGAGCACCTTATGTGAAAATTAAATAGGTTATGTATTATGAACTTTATATAATTCACACAGAAAGCAACTAAGAAAAATACATGAATCTCTTATAAAAAACAGAGGAAGGTGATACTTTGCATGTGAATATTTGTGCCTGTATGTTTTCCCTTCTGCTCTGTTGCAAACTTCCTAGAGATGGTGTTGTGTTTTTCTGTATTATCCTCATACAAATGACAAGAATTGTGCCAACTTGAATCTTAGAACTAACCGTGTCTAGAAGTTTTCCCTTTTTTCTCTCAACTTCTTTTGCAGCAATGTTTTTAATGTGCAGAGATATGCACTAATTGTTTGTTTTCATTGCCCTCACTTAGACAGTAGGAATAAATAACTAAACCTACATGCTAAGGGGAATGCTGGGGTGGTGGCACATGCTCATTGAACATCACCACATGTGTCAACACGGGTCTTGTTTCAGTCGGTCCCACATGTGAGAAGTAAAAACATCTGAGAATCTCATTGTTGAGTAGAGCACTGTGCCTTGTCTCTTATCTGTCGCCCTTCGTTCTCTAGTGAAAGGCATGTTGCCCCTCTCCTTTAAAGTGGAATCAGACATTGCTCCCACTGCTCAGATGATTGTCTATACTGTGTTACCAAAGGGAGAAGTTGTTGCAGATATACAAGAATTCAAGATTGAAAATTGCTTTGCCAACAAGGTGAGTGTCTTGTTTGGGTCCGGTCCATCCTTCTCTTCTTGTGCTGTGTAGAAAGCTAGGAAATAATGTATGTTAAAAGACTGACTGACAATCTTCTGAAAGCTTTGTCAGCACCTCTGAAAGCAAGGAGAGACACATCATACCTTAAAGCAGGCATCCTCAAACTATGGCCCGCGGGCCACATGCGGCCCCGCCGAGGACATTTATCCGGCCCGCCAGTGTTTTTGCCCCGTTTGTTTTTTTTTACTTCAAAATAAGTTATGTGCAGTGTGCATAGTTTTTTTTAAGACTAAAGTCCGGCCCTCCAACGGATCTGAGGGACAGTCAACTGGCCCCCTGTTTAAAAAGTTTGAGGAAAGGGGAGGAGGAAGGGAAGGGGAGGGGGTAAAAAAAAGGAAAATTAGTGGATTCCGGGAACCCCAGAGGCAAGCGAATTTTGGGAATAATAAGGGCAACAAATGTATAGATGTGCTTTACACAATTGATCTATGTATTGTGATGAATTGTATGAGCCTCAATAAATTGATTAAAAAAAAAGTTTGAGGATCCCTGCAGGTTTAAGGATGGAGCAGGACAAAGCCAGTTGCTCATGAGCACAGTTTGTTAAAGGCTTTTGCTTTATCTTAAAACTCATATGGATTCCCAAAACCTGCCCCTTTGATAGCAGTTCAGTGTTTACCCATCAGCATCACCAGGGCACAATAGATAATGCTATCATTCAAGATGGGGACAAATTGTTGTGGTGGCTAGGTGCCACCAGGTCGGTTCTGACCCATAGCGACCCTGGGCACAACATGCTAGAAAATGAAAAATGGTCTATTGCTGTGAAAACTAACCTGAACAAAACAAAACAAAAAAACCTCTTAAGGTATATTTTTAAAGATTCTAAACCTGTGTGCATGAGTCAACATTACCTTTAATGACCAATGATAGTCAGTTAGGAATAACAAACATAATTTTAAATATTATAAAATTATTCATGTGTGAAATAAATCTGTTGTGTTCAAATTGAGAAAGAAGTATATAACATTTAAATAGAAAGACATTTTCTCTGTCCCAACAATTGAGATTTAAAATGTATCTGGAATTTATCATTTTGAAGAACATGTGTCTGAATCAGAACTTCCCTCATATACTCCGTCATCTTTTGCTCTGTTGGCTCATCATCTGGTAAGATATCTAGCTTTTATGGTCCTTAGTTTCTCACATTACTAGACCTACCCTTTTCTGACTTTTTGTGGTACATCTAAAATAGTCTACTTTCTTTTAAGTGCCACATGCATTTTCTTCTATATGAGTTATTTAAATTTACCCATAATATAGCAAGTGATTAATACTATTCATCTTGAAGATAAATAAATGTAGTTTGTTTCTCATCCATCTCAGATATGAAATTCCAAACTACTAGTCAATTCAGAAACACAGGTCATGTATCATTTATCTGATACCAATATTTCTGATATAATTGCTATTTCATTACAGTCCAAATCAGCTTCCAGTTCAATAATCCTTAAAGTTACCCACTGCTTTACTGAAACTAAATTCTCTTTTATGTTTCAAATCTTTAATAATTTTGAGAATAAGCTACTCAAACGTTTTTCGCAAAAAAAAAGAAGGAACCAATAGATTCCCTAGCCAGTGAATTTCTGCAATCCAAAACTGTCAAATCTATGAAAAGATTCTGGGGAAAAAATGTTTTTTAGATCTTGTTCATTTTATTCCCAGAACCATTTTTTGGGAGCTAATGCACATATCATTCCACAGTTCATTCACATTGAGCAGTATTGTGCAATTGCTACCACGATCAGTTCAAAACATTCTCTTCCTTCTTGAACTCCTTCATTTCTGCCTCCCTTTACCCCTTTCTCCCACTGTGCCCCCCAGGAGCCCTTATTCAACTTGCTGTCTCTATAAGTTCATCCATCCTGGATTTCATAGACTGAAAAACAGATCACCAAAATTCAAGAGGGTTACCCTCAGTGACTAAACACATAAATCCCAATATAACAACAACAATCACAGAAAATGTTGAAAATCAGATCAGGCCAAGGTGCATCAGCGAGGGGATCAACTGACAAAGTTCCATCCATTCAACTCGGGTTTGATCTTCTAAACTCATCTCTCCAAGGCACTCTCCTTGGTAACCACTTTCTTCCCAGCCCCCTAGTACGCAGAGAGGGAGATCATTGGAGGCTCATTTCCTATGTAGGTCTCACAAATGTATTTTGGGCTTCCACTGTCATCCATAGCCTTCTGCAAACCAGACTCACACTTTAGACTCCGATACTATTCCCTCCTTCGACTTCAGATTATATGATTTAAAATCCTTTGGTGACTGGTGTTGGTGTGCTTCTTCCATGTGGACTTTGTTGACATCTCAATCAGGTGGCTGCTCATTTGGAAACAAGCCTTTAAGAACCTGGATGCTATTTTATCTGATAGCTGGGCACCATCTAATTTTTTCACCATGCTTTGCTCTAGCAATCATATTGTCTGTATTCCCTTCCTGAGGGTGAGAATAAGATCTTTCTCCTGTCCACAGTTCTTTGTTAGTTTTTTGAACCAGTCAACTCTTGAGATGCATTTTAAAGGACTTAATAAAAAATAACCCAATAAATCCTTGGTACTGACAAACAGTGCTGTACTGTTTTAGAATTTTAAGTGTTTCTAATTTCAAGACTGGAAAATGAAGGCAATTTTAGTTGGCTGTTCTCAAGGATATAATATTATTTTTTCCAACCATCATGCAGACTTATGAAGCCCAGTTGAAGTCTGGGATACATGTTGGGCTGCTACCTCAAAGTCAGCAGTTTGCAACCCCCAGAGAAAATGAGGCTTTTGACTCCCGTAAAGATTTTCAGGGTTGAAACCCCCCAGGAGCAGTTCTACTTTTTTGTACAGGGTTGTTATGACTCAGAATCAATCCAATGACAGTGATTCAAGTTCCTGTGTTTATTGTGCAAACTACAGACTTTCAACACAAAAACACCTCATGGAGGTCAGTTATCCCAAGTATGTGTCTTCCTCAGTTAAGGGGTCTTCATTTCCATTCAAAGATTACATCTATTTCAATGTGATAAAATAATAATAATCTATACTTACCAGTTATGTAAGACATTACATGTGGGAATCCTAAGTTAACTACAACCACATACATTTCCAGTTTATTCCTGAGATGCTTAACTAAACTTGTTTTTAAATGGGTGAAAAGAATGTAGAAATGATGATCTAATCCTCAGGTGGCAGAGAATTTTGTTTGTCATTATTATAATGCAGGTTATTAACAATGATATTAATATCATATCATCTTTGCAGGTAAATTTAAGCTTCTCTTCAGCCCAGAGCATGCCAGCTTCAAACACCTACCTGAAGGTTAAAGGCTCACCCCTCTCCCTCTGTGGCCTCCATGCAGTGGACCAGAGTCTGATGTTAATGAGAGGAGGAGTTGCGTTCTCACCTCAATCAGTGAGTCCCATTTCAGTCTCGGGGGTCAGAAAAAATACATACACAATAAGACCAATTTTGGAAGCTATGAATTACAACTCCAAAGGACAATATCTTCATAATGTCAGGCATAATTTAGCAAACTTATTATGAATTGGAATTTAATTCAGCTTTGCCATTGTCATTGTACCAGGTTCTTGACATAAACCATCTGATTGCATCTTCTGTTATTAATATATGCTCAATGAAGGAACAATCTTGTTCATGACTATATCTCCCATGTCTACCACAGTGTCTTCTGTGTAGGAGTTAGTCCATGCATTTTAATGAAGGAATGAAGGAATGATAATACTTTAAGGTGGGCACATTACCCTAAAGGAAATACAGTTAAATTAGAGTAAGTAACTAAAGAAAAAAACACAACAAAATCTATATGTCAGAGGTGGAAGTTAAACTGAATGTCTTTCAGGGCATCCTCCTACTTTTCCACATTTCAAGGTATTATGTGAAATGTTGATTGTTTTCAGTTTTCTCTAAAATTGACTCACATGGATTTTAAGTATGGCCAAGCTGGTTTTAAGTATGGTCCCCAAAAGGTGGTGCTTTGTTATCTTTCATTCAAATTTCTCTTTTAAAGAATGCAGCTCTTTAGCTCTTTCTTAAGAAGCCAACAGATTGCAGGATTTTCATTCATTTATTTAACAAGCACTCACTATATATTGACTAGCGGATGGGCACTGTGCTGTGAAGATGACTTATAACGGTAAGCAATCCAGATGTGCTCTTCGACTACTTAGACTTATAGAATTGTGAGGCATTAGCACAAACAGCAACAGAAACATAGCACATACAATAACTCCCAGTTTTGTTCAATATTATGGAAGGCCTATGTGATGGGATCACATCTAGATATCTCGAAGCTAGACCAACTGATATGAACATAATGCAAATTTACACCCTAACAACTAAAGTCAGTGATGAAAAAAACTGAGTTCTACCAACTGCTTCAGTCTGACATTGACCTAGCCTGTAATCAAGATGCATTAATAATTGCACCAGTAATCAAATGGACAGAAGTTCCCTAAGGACAAGGTTCTGAATGGTTCAGAAAGGAGGAGAAATGGAAACAGGACACAGGGAGGAAGTGGGATAAGCCATGCTACACTGTGAGCATCGCAATCAATGAGATGAACGAAAATTTGTATGAATCTTTGAATGTAAAACGGATGATCTGCTCAGTAACCCTTCACTCAATTAACAGTAAACAGTTAAAATAACAATTGGAGCAGCTCATTTCTGTTCTACAGGGTCTGTAGGAGTTGGAATTGGCTCAGTACTTGCTTTGAGTGTGGGGGGTTTGTTTGACATCAAAAGAGACTCTGAGACTGATCAATTCATGCAATCTCTAGGCATGTTACGTTGTTTCTGCGCAACATGATTAGTAACCATAACCTGTGATCTATCCCCACGATGGTAAGAATGGTGATGCAACTTGAAGAATATAATCGGTGTCGCTGAGTTAAACACACAGAAATCATCAAGCTGCCATGTATTCTGCTGTGTATATCACAAAAAACAGAAACGTTATGAAAAATTATGTATGCATACATACACATAATATATCTCTCCATGAACTTAAAGTGGTTTTTTTCATAACGCAAACATGGAGATGTTTAAAAAGCACCACAATCTGTTCAATGCTGTATTGACATTATTAAATTTAAAGCAAACTTTTAAAAATTAAAAAAAAATAGTTTTGCTTTTGGTGTTACGTGTCCGAGTCAATTTTGACCCAGAGGGCTCCTAAGAGTACAGGGTGAAACCGCTACAGAGGGACTCATGCCGGGGGACCACTGAGTAACAGATCAGGAGGCGTGTCTTGTGAGGCATCTCAAAGTTGTTTTGAGCTGTCAATCTTTCAGTCAGTAGTCCAGTACGAAATAATTTTCACTACCCAGGAATTTCTTCTTCCTTTTTTTGCGTGAATATTTTATTTGATTGTTCTTTTGTTTTTAATTTTAATAAATCATCTTGTTGGAGCCTATTACAGCTCTTATAACAATCCATACCTCAACTACATCAAGCACTTATGTACATATGTTATCCCCATCATTTCCAAAACATTTTCCTTCTACTTGAACCCTTGGTATCAGCTCCTCTTTGTTCCCCTCCCTCCTCCGCCCTCTCTACCTCATGAACTCTATATAAGTTATTTGTATTTTCATAATTTACACCATCTGCTCTCTCCTTTCATTCGCATTTCTGTTGTTCATCATCCTGGGGGTAGGGTCAGGTGGGGTAGGGGTTTTACATCCATGATTGTAATCAGTTCCCCCTTGCTCCCCACCTTCCCTCATGGTAGGCCCTCATGGTATCACTACTCTGGGATTCTGTGTGTCAAGAACTCTTATCTGTACCAGTGTACATGCTCCAGTCTAGCCGGATTTGTAAAGTAGAACTGTGGTCAAGATAGTGGGGGGAAGGAAGTATTAAAGCCCAGATGGAGGAAGCACACCAGCCTGTGTGAACACGAGGTGTCGAAGGGATCAGGTATCAAACATCAAAGAACAAAAATTCATATCATTGTAAATGAGTGGGAGTGCAGAGTGGAGACGAAAAGCTCATCTGTACTCAACTGGACACCCCCTTCCAGAAAGGTCGTGAGAAAGAGACCAGCCAGTCAGGGTGCAGTGTATCAAGGATGAAATATACAACTTTCCTCTAGTTCTTAAATGCTTCCTCCCTCCCCCCCTTATCATCATCCCAATTCTACCTTACAAATCTGGCTAGACCAGAGGATGCACATTGGTACAGATAGGAACTGGAAACACAGGGAATCCAGGGCAGATGAAACCCGCAGGACCAGTGGTGAGAGTGGCGATACCGGGAGGGTGGAAGGAGGGTGAGGTGGAAAGGGGGAACTGATAACAAGGATCTACATATAACCTCCTCCCTGGGGGATGGACAACAGAAAAGTGGGTGAAGGGAGACATTGAACAGTGTAAGATATGACAAAATAATAATTTATAAATTATCAAGGGTTCATGAGGGAGGTAGGAGTGGCGAGGGAGGGGGAAAATGAGGAGCTGATATCAAGGGCTCAAGCAGAAAGCAAATGTTTTGAGAATGATGATGGCAACAAATGCACAAATGTGTTTGACACAATGGATGCATATATGGATTGTGATAAGAATTGTACGAGACCCCCAATAAAATGATTTTAAAAAGAAAAAGGAAAAACTAGAGGAATGTGTTTTGTCGGCGCTCTATTGCACCCTAGCTGGCTCATCCCTTCCTTGGGACCCTCCTGTGAGGGGATGCCCAATTGTCTACAGAAAGGCTATGGGTTTCAAACCCCTCTCATTCGCATCAAAATGGTTGCTTGTTTGGGGTCTTCTTTTGCCTGATACCTGTTACCATCAAGACCTCGTGAATACACAGGTTGGTGTGCTTCCTCCATGTGGGCTTTGTGCTTCCCTGCTAGATGGCCACTTGTTGAACTTCAAGCCTTTAAGACCCTGGATGCTGTATCTTGAAATAGCTGGGCACCATCAGCTTTCTTCACCACTAGCTTATGCACCCATTTTGTCTTCAGTGATCATGTCAGGAAGGTGAGCATCACAGAATGCCAGCTTATTAGAACAAAGTGTTCTTGTGTTGTGAGAGGACTTGAGTAGAGGCCCTATGTCTGTCTGCGACCTTAATACTTAACATATAAATATATGTACACAGACCTATATCCTTATCATTATATATTAATATATTTACATATATACATGTCTATGTCTATATCACTATAAATGTCTTTTGCCTCCTCATTCTTTCCTCTATTTTCAGGGACTTCTTTCTTTTGCTTTCACAGGTCTATCGATTGCTACCCTCAAAGAATGACCTACCTAGAACATATGGAGAATTAAGCCAGGAAGACAGTGAAGAATGCATCCCTAGGGGTCCCATAGGCATATATGACATGAATGCAGCAAGCCGGGTTCTGGAGGATGACGATATCTACAGCATCTTCCAGGTCCTTCTTTTTCCTAAACACGTACTCAACATTTATCTCTCCTCTTTGTTAAGTTGGAGAATCGATTCTGTTCCTCTCTCTGAATCAAGCTACGTTTCACCGAAAAAGAAAGGAACCTTAGAAGCAGGGAGAATGTTTTATACATACAGATGTTAAGCATAATTTATCGGACACCTTAAATAGTGTTTACTTTTAGGGATCAAAAAAGTTAATCATATTAATCCCAAAGTTATTTACCACTGACATCTCTCCCTCTCAGTAACTCAAAGATATCTTAATATGGGAGAAAAAACAAACACACATTTTACCATATCCGTGCTTCACATGGTGGCATCTGTAGAAGGGAAATATCTTATTGCCAAACAGATCCCTTGCACAATAAGCGGTTGTTGACTGCATAAGTGACTGAATATATAAAGTTCAACTCTTTAGTCCCCACCTTTACTTCAGTAACCCAGATGAAATATTCACTTTTCAAGGTTAACCAAATGGAAGTTAGAAAGACTAATATGCTTTAAAATGTGTATTTTTCAGTGTTACACATAACTACACAGGGTTATGAAAGGGAAGTTTATCCATATTATGAAACAAATCTTATAATTGCCAAAAAGTACAGAAAAAATATATAAACATCTTGAACAAGGCATGGTTCACTCTTTTAATACAGGTTGGTGCCTTCCCTGAGAATAAGATCCCTCTCTCCTCTTGTACCCTTAGTGTCCTCCATCAGGGAGTGGCAGAAGAGTGGAAAGAGGATGATTTAGGTTTACTACTAAACTATTTCATCTTTAAACTTTTACTTTCTAATCTTTTCCTTCCTAGTCCACATTGTTATTCTTATCCCTTCCTATCAGAATCCGGGCTGAGATAGGCTGAGCACATAGTACTGATGGCTACCATTGAAGAATAGAAAAGCTGAGAGCATGCGAGTTTTAAGAACCAGGCTGCTAGCAGTACCTGTGTGTGCGTTTTGGACAAAAAGAATGAAGATGGCTAAAAGAAACTATTAGAAAGGATAATGAAAAATGATCAAAGGGATGATTTTAGCATAAGTATGCAGGAAAAGGTACATCTTTCAATAAAGCAAACTTTTCTGAGGCTGCAGAAAATATGCAAAATTCATAGTATGTTGCATAAAAACAATATGTACCCTTACAATGTAAAAATCTATACAGTACATTATATGCTTAGATATGATTGCAGATTGATATAGACACTAGCATAGGTAGAAGTTTTTAATTGGGGGAGGTGGCAGGGGGAAAAAGGAAGAAAGCTTGTATGACTAAATACTTCATTTTTTATATGGAAAAAAATAATAAAAGTGGCATCAGAATTGAACTTACAAATTTTTGAAATAGAAATCAAATCGTTCTAATCCCAATTGTAACATTCCTTTACTGAATTTGATTGTCTCTGTCTCCATTTTCACATTTATAAATCACTCCAGCTCTCCAATGCCTGGGATTGTCCTCATTAATCCTCTGAGCTCTGTCTCTGACAATAGTGAAAATTATATGAATTTAAGAAGTTTCATCCAGTCTCAAAATTGGAGTGTGAATATGCTTTATCTATCAATATTTTGTTCCAGGTTTCAGGAGTACATATTTTTACCAACTCAAATATCCGAAAGCCTCGCCTGTGTGGGTTTTCACTGCATCAAGGCTATGGACCAGGTGGTATGCTCTTCAACGGAGGTAAGGGTGTGCTCTATTTGTCTTTTGGAAGAGTAGAGTAGGATGTTTTACAGGGTTGGATTAGGGTAAAAAGCTATTTTTCCAAGTATTGGGCCAGTTGACTCAACAAAATGTCCCCCTTCAAAAACTATAAGTTTTAGCTAATCATTATTTCCTTTCTGACATCAAAATCAACTTTTGTCCCAGTCTTCAGTCTTTCTATTTCATCGCTTCCTAACCTCTAGGAAAGGAATCCATGCGTGTGTCAAAATGCTGCTGTCCAACAACTTCTAATTCAGAGCGACCAGGCACACACTGGGTTGTGACTAATAGGATCCATTGAGTTGTCATTGGCTGATTTTCTGAAGTAAATGTGAAAACTTTCTTCCTAGTTTGACTTTATCTGGTAGCTCTGCTGATACCTGTTCTGTATCATAGCAGAGCCCAGTTTCCACTGACCGATGAGTAGTAATTATGCATATGGTGTATTGGCTGAAAATCAAACCAGAGTCTCTTCCATGGAAGGCAAACATTCTATCTCAATTCTCCTTAGTCAAGACCAGATTGCAGTAACAAGCAACCCCCCCCCCCCCATCTCTGGCTATGAATAGTGTGTTTCTTGCTCATACCAAACCTCTTTGTGAGCCCTGCAGCTCTCTAGAAATGAATCAGGGACATATAGGTGATTTTCATCTTGTGACTCTGCTATCTCCAAAGCTGCCTTCAAGATCAGTACGAGAGGCAAACAGAGGATGATTGTGCATGACTTTCAAAGCCAGGAATAGAAATGGCATGCATCATTTACTCAGACTCCACTGACAGGAATTCTCATGTAACTCCTAAGCACACAGCAAGGAACCCTGAGAAATATGAACAATTATACAGTTATCAAACAATTCCGTCACAGTCCTCTCATGGAATTCAAAGTGATTTTGAATTATTGAACAAATTAGAATGATTCAACTTCTGGTAAAATGGTACCAATCTCTTTCTGTATTTCAAATATACCTGGAAATGAGTTGAAGTTGAAAAGATTCTAAAAATTTAGTATTAGCTTCTACTGTTATCATGCCTCGGCAGTTTTTCCTCTATGTCCTCCAATGTCTACTAGTCCCACTTCCTAAGAAAAAATTAGCAAAAAATAAAGAAAGAAAAGAAAAAATTAGGGTAGTGTGATAAAGTATTTCTTTAAAAAATGAGAATAAATACATAATACAGTTGGAAATACAGGCCTAGGAAGACAAGGAATAAATTTCTAGTTAAAAGCAGAGACATGAATAAGAATATTCCTCCATCAGAAAGTCTACCTTGTATAAAAAAAAAGACAAACAACACTTTGATAGAAGGAGAGGGAAAATTTTCTCATGACAATTCCAACTGCTGAAACTCATTGTTAGAGGCCGAGTCAGTCTGGGCTCAGAGCATCCTTATGTAGAACACAAAGCAATACTTCATAGACTTTGCCGCCACTTTGCCAATCCATTTTGACGAGCGTCTTCCTCCCTTTCATTGCCCCTCTATTTTACCAAGCATGATGCCCCTTTCCAGGGACTGGTCCCTCCTGATAGTGTGCTAAAACTATGCAACCTTAAATTTATTCAAACCCACTTAACCTTTTGTAGGCCTCATTGCTTCATGTCTAAAGCCACCATGACTATTTTAAATTTACCAACGTGTTCTTTTGAGAATGAGTTGAGGAAGCAAACAAAAACAAAAACAAGAATGATTCCATGTGAAAGCATGTATTTGGGGCAAAACAACTAAAAAGCACTATCACTTTATTTTCACATCAATCCGAAGACCGAATGTACATTTTCTTTCCAATTCTAAGGAGGAAAATAAAATGTCAACACAAGAGCTGAAAGATCTGAAAACGAAGATCTTCTAGAAAATTGTTAATTTCCCCCACCGATTTCCTTAATACTCTTTAGCGCTCCATTCTTCCCTCTTAATTGTCAAGTAATCCTGCCCCTAACTGTGGCATAGCCAGATTATTGAAAAATCTTGCCATTTGCATTCCTTGTTCTCCACTTCAATCATTCCGTATCCTGTGAAAGGCTAACCGCTCTTCAACAGTGATTTTATCATGTCATTTCTTTCTTCAGTCTAGTCAGTGCCTCCAGAATTCACAGACTCATTGTAGGTAAGATTTTACAAAAGGCTAGATAACTCAATGTTAGAACTCAGATGCAAAAAAAACTCTACTCCCTGATTCCTGAAGTGTCAGTTAAAATTTTGTAATTGAGGTAACTTCTGCTTTAGCAGATACAAAATATCTGCCCTAATCTGCATGACCACCACTTGTCTGTCAGTTGTCAGTGCTGTGATAGCTTCCATGATGCTGGCAGCTATGCCAGCAACATTTCAAATACCACCAGACTCGCCCATAGTACACAGGTTTCAGTGGAGCCTGTGGAAAACAAATCAGGCAAAAGAAACAGGTGGAGTACTTCTGAAAAATTCTCCATTATAAATCGTATCAATGGCAATGGCACATTGTCTGATACAGTGTGAGATGTGCCTCTCAGAGAAGGAAAAGTAAAGTATGAGAATGGAATCTATGAAGACCTGGAGTTGGGAACTCAAAAGGGAAAAAAAACATGGCCAGCATTTCTCAAGCTTAAAGAACTGGGAAAAAACATTCAATCCTCTGGTTTTAATATTGAAGGATTCTATGGACGAAATACGGAATAATGCTGGAACTTTATTTCATCACGATAAGATGAAAAGAATACAGTCACTGAACCGAAATGAATTGATTGACATTCAAATATTTTAAGAAGTAGCCTGATTAAGAATGCTGGTCATGAAGGAAGACATTAACACTGCACTGAAGATGGACGTTAAAAGCACAACTCGGAGAATTCACAGAATACCAAGTGAAAGGCTTCACTCAACGGATCAGTGCTGGAAGCAATTATTCATCTATGCCCAGAAATTTGGAAGACAGTTCCCTGGCCAACCAACTAGAAGAGGCCCCTATTTTCTCCTAATTTAGGTGGCCCAACAGAATTAGGGTTTACCTAATACTATCAATAATATTACAAGCAAGTAAAATTATGCTGGAAGTAATTCAAAATTGATTTAGCCATACATTGACAGGAAGCTGCCAGAAATCATGCCAGATACAGAGAAGGACTTGGACTGAGGAATATCATTGTTGTTTTTAGATGGGACTTGCCTGAAAGCAGGGAATACCAGAAAGAAATTTATTTGTATTTTATTAGTTATATAATACTATAACTAATGTGATTATTTGGGTCATAACAAACTATGATAATGTTTTTTTAAAATGTGAATTCAAGAATACTAATTTGTGCTCATGTGGAAACTGTATATGGATGACTAAGAGGCAGTCATGCAAACAACAAAGGGAAAACAAATGTTTTAAAATCAGGGGAATTGGGTGTCAGGGCTGTATCCTTTCATATTTGCTGAACAAATAATCCTAGAAGCTAGACTCTATGAAGAGAGCAAGGCTTCAGGATGGGAGGAAGGTTCATTAACAACTTGCAATATACAGATGACACAATCTTGCTTGCTGAAAGCGAAGAGGGGTAGAAGCACCTATTGATCAAGATCTAGGACTATAGCCTTCACTATAAATGACACTGTAATGTAAAGAAAAGAAAAATTCTCACAGCTTGACCAATAAACAGCATCACTATAAAAAGAGAAAAGATTCAAGTAGTGAAGGATTTTATTTCTCATGGATCCGCAGTCAACACCCATGGAAGTAAGCAGCCAAGAAATCAATGATTTATTACATTGTGTAGATCTGTTGCAACGTGTTCGAGAACAAAGATGTTTCTTTGAGGATTGAGGTGGGACTGACCCCCAAAATGGTATTTTCCACCTCAGATCCGTGTGAAAAATGGATAACGAATAAAAGCAACTGAACAAGAATTGGTGCATTTGCATTATGGCGCTGACAAATAATATTGAAATCACCATGAAATTTCAGAACAACAAGCAAATCTCTGCTGAAAGTAGCACATCTACAATGCTCCTTATGAACCTGGATGGCGAGATTTGGTCCCGTGTACTTTGGACATGTGATCAAGAGGGCCCAGTCCCTGGAGCAAGACATAGTGTTTGGTAAAGTACAGCCCCAACATTCCAACTCACTGTCGTCAAGTCAATTGCTACGGATAGCAGGCCAGAGTAGATCTCTCTACAGGAGCAGAACGCCTCATCTTTCTCCCATAGAACCATTTGTGAATTCAAACTGCTGACCTTGTGGTTATACCAGCTCAATGCATAACTCCTTTCCCCCTAGAGGGTCAGTGACAGAGAGAAGAGTTTCAGGGAGATGGATTGACACAGTGGCTGCACCAATGGGCTCAAACAAAACAACTGTAAGAATGGAGTAGGGCAGGCCAGTATTTCATTCAATTGTATAGACTGGTTTGCTATGGGTTGGAAATGAATCCATGCACCTAATAGCAAAAATTACCTTCATGTTTTTTATATAGTTACATTCATTATTTATTTCACTATGTTAAGCACATATTAAATATAAAAATTATATCCCAAGGAGGTCAGCTGTTCATTGACCTTTGGATTTATATTTCCCCACTGCTGTATCTGTACTTTCATATCTCTTTCCCTGGAGAGTCTTTCCTATTAACCTCTGCTGTCCATCTATTAATGATTGTCCTAAGTTCTACTTTGGTAAAAATAGGTTATTGGGCGATGCAAACTCTTTGTGCTTGATTACTAACTGAAAATTTGAGCACATTAAAAGTGGAAATCTGCTTCCACAGAGATTAACCAAGAAAGCACTATGGAACGCTGCGTGTTCTATCCTGAAACACTTGGAGCCACCATAATCTGGCGTCGACCCAATAGCAGTGGATTTTACTTTGTTTTGGTTTTGATTTAGATAAAAGTGTTTTTAACCAGACTACAATTATACTTTTCTACCTCTTATTGTCTGTTCCCATATCTTATTCACTGGTTTTTAAAAAATCATTCCTGAACTTGTTTCAATTAATATCTGTTCTTCCTGTTGGATTTTCACTGCATCATCTCAGTATAAAGGCAACATATGATAGATTCAATTATTTATCTTTCCCTTCTCCTGCTGACTGGGCTTTTTATTTCCATTTAGGAAGATCTACCTTTGATTTTATTCTCAGAGAAAATATAATTACCCATAGTTTCTATTTCTATTTTTATTCTTGAGTTAGTCCTCCTTTAACATGGGTAGATAAGTAAGCTGGTATATGTATTTGTTCCAGTAGTAAGCATTCCTTGAGCAAATGTTCTTATTTGACTTGATAAACAGGGCAAACAAACAAAAAGCTCACTGTCATCGAGTCAATGCTGACTCAAAGCAACCTTCTAGGACAGGATAGACCTGCCCTGAGACTGTAACTTTCTACGGGAGTAGAAAGCCTGGTTAGCAACCCAATGCATAAGCCACTACATTGCCGGGACAGTTGTTAAAGAATGATGTCAGACATGACAAAATAATAGTAATTTATAAATTATCAAGGGTTCATGAGGGAGGGGGAGAGGGAAGGGAAAATGAGGAGCTGATACCAAGGGAGCAAGTAGAAAGCAAATGTTTTGAGAATGATGATGGCCACACATGTACAAATGTGCTTGACACGATGGATGGATGGATGGATGGATGGATGGATGGATGGATGGATGGATGGATGGTTAAAGGAGTTGTATGAGCCCCCAATAAAATGATTTTTTTTAAATGAGGCTCACACTAAGCACTGTCTTCTTTCCTTTGCGGTTATAGGATTGGGAGCCTTTCCAAGTGGAATAGGAGCCATTCCAGGTGGAATGGGAGCCATTCCAGGTGTAGGAGTGGGAGCCATTCCAGGTGTAGGAGTGGGAGCCATTCCAGGTGTAGGAATGGGAGCCATTGCAGGAATGGGACCAGTTGGAGCAGCAGGAGTTGGGTATGCAGGCGGGATGTCTTATCCTCCACCAGCAGTTCCTCCAGCAATGCCAATAGAAGATGTCCAGACTGCTCACATAAGAGAAATGGTCCGGAAGTATTTCCCTGAGAGCTGGATCTGGGACTTGGTCGTACTTGAGTAAGTTGAATGTTGTCTTGAATTTGGTTAAGAAGAGGATTTGAATCCTGTCCAATATTTTAGTTCCTGTTTCTTTCCATTCCGCTCCATTTTTTCCTAGTAAATATGTAGGTTCATAGTTCATCTGTTTCATACCTGAAGAATGTAAACTTGTTGGACTTTGCTTCCTGGGATACTTCAAATAATAAAATAATAGAAAGCAGAACACCATGAACCCCCTGCCCTGACCCACCCAGCCCCACAAAAGAACTCATTGTGTTCTAGATAGATCTAGTTGGTTCCAACTCATAGCATCCCTATGTAACCAGTCCAAAACACTGTCTGGTCTTGGGCCATCCTTACAATCATTGTTATGCTTGAATCCATTGTTTTAGTCACTGTATAACCCCATTCACTTCTTGGTACTCCTTTTATTATCTGACAATTTATTTTACGAAACATGATGTCCTTCTCCAGGGACTGGTCTCCTCTGTACAAAGTATGTGAGACCACATCTTACAGCCAGGTTTCTAGGAAGTATTCTAGCTGTACTTATTCCAACATAAATGTGTTCGTTCTTCTGACAGCCCATGGTACATTCAATAGTCTTTGCCAACACTGTAACTCAAATATATTCTTCGGTCATTTTTTATCATTGACCAGTTTTCACATGCATATAAAACAATTAAAAGTGCAATGGCTTCGGTCAGATGATTCTTAGTCCTCACCATGAGATCTTTGCTCTTTAACACTTTAAAGCAACTTTGCCCATTGCAATATATTGTATTATGTCTTGACTGCTGCTTCCATGGGCAAATTGAAGCTGAAGAAAATTATAACAAGCCCATGAGAACCAAACAAAACCTTGAATTTGAATACCATCTCAAGAATGAATGTGATGCATTGGTCACTAATGACTGAAGAACAGACAATTGTGGGATGACATCAAGCACATCATATATGAAGTAATCTAACACATTTTAAAAGATTTTAATCTAACACATTAAGCAGCACATAGGTTTTAAGCATAAACCTATACAAAGTCATGGCAGAAAATATCTGGTGATGTAATTTAGGAGATAGACTGTACTGAGATTTACCATCGCCCCCCCAAAAAAAACCTCCTTCACTTAGATTTACAAATTGGTTTGCTAACTTTTAAATGTCCAAGCATTTGACAGTCGCAGGCCTCATACTTCACCCATAAATACTTCAACATGTACTTCTAAGATTAAGACTTTTCTAGATTTTCATAATCCCATTAATTCAACAATATAAATAGTGGTTTACATTCAAATTTCTCCAGATATTTTTCTTTAAATGTCTTTTTTGCTGTTTATTTCTCACCCCCCCACTCCCCCTAAAAAGAAGTAAGCCTATTGGAATCAATTAGATTCCAATCACAGTGGCCCTATAGGGAGTTTCTGAGACTGTAAATCTTCAGGGGAGCAGACATGCTTATCATTCTGCAGAGCAGCTGCTGAGTTTGAACCAACAACTTCACAATTAACAGCCCAATGCTTCACTTCGCACCACCAGGGCTCCGTGTTTATTTTTCCAAATGAAATCAACATGAATTGTTTTGGGGTGGAGTGAGGCTGGTCTCAGTTTCCTAAGACCATTGGAAATATATGTGTTCCGATGGTCTTAGGCGACCCCTGTGAAAGGGTCGTTTGACCCCCAAAGGGGTCACAACCCACAGGTTGAGAACCACTGGTTTGGTCTCTTACCTGTTGCCTCCATGATCATTGATAGCAGATGCAATTAAGATGAAATTCTTGACAACTTCAATCTTTTCTCTCTTTATCAGGATGTTACCTATGGTTCCAATTGTGTTTTACATATGACTAAGCAAATGCCAGTTGCCCACAACAAAGATGATTGGAGTAGAGAGACTAAAATGGAGCAAATGAACCTTATAGCGGGGCTAAAGTGCTTTGAACTCACTTTTGGTACTGTCAACTGCTCCCGCCTCCTCCCCCAGCCTTCACTCCACCCCATCTCTCTTTCTCTTTGGAGATCTCAGAAGCCATAACTCAAAAATCCCCTCCATATCTCAGCACATCGCTATAAATCCATCTACATGAGTCCTCATTTTCTCGTTACACGGAAGAAAATGTCTTCTCTTCTGGTGATGGGAAACTTGGCAAGGGACACTGGTGATGCCCACTTACTGTGACTGACATAATTGTTCATGTAAACAAAACTGTCAAATTGACAAAGGTTGCAATATATACATTACATATCTTAAACATGTGTATTATGTGTATTGCAGCAATGAAAAGTCAATTCCTCAAAAAAACCTGTGATATACAGATGATTCAACCTTGCTTGCTGAAAGTGAAGAGAACTTGAAGCACTTTTTAAAAAAAAACATTTTATTGGAAGTTAATACAGATATCATATCATTCCATAGTTTAATCACATCAAGCAGCATTGTACAATTGCTATGACAAGCAGTTTCAAAACATTCTCTTCCTTCTTAAACGCCTTGACACCAGCTTCCTTTTACTGTCCCCCACCAACTCTGTACCCCCAGAAACCTTTATTCTACTTGCTGTCCCTAAAGAGCCATCAATCCTGAGTTTCATATACTGAAAAAACAGACAAACATATAACAAAAATTCAATTCAAAATTTATCATCTCCAATGACAAAACGCATCTGAGATAAGCCCCAATATGAGCAAAAAATATAGAAAATCTAACATGCATCAGAAGGGAGATCAACTGACAAGGTTTTAATCATTCAAATCAGGTTTATCATTTTGATCTTCTATAAGCCTCTCCCCAATGCACTTTGTTTCTTAACCAGTTTCCTCCCATCATTCTATTATGGATAGAGGGAAATCACCCAGGGCATATTTTCTATGTAGATCCCACAAATGTATTGTGGGTCCACTGTCATCCATAGCCTTCTGCAAACCAGATTCTCACAATTTAGACTCTGAAATGTTTCCCTCCTTTGGCTTTGGAGAAGCACTTACTTCTTGATGAAGATCAAAGCGTACAGCTTTCAATATGGATTCCACATAAAGAAACGCAAACCCTCACATTTCCTGCATTGGAACTGAGCAGATGTGGAGAACAGAAAAGAACTAGCTTGTGGGACTTCCGGTGCTGTAAATCAGACTGCCTCTGCTTTCTCCTGCGATGCAGCTATAGGGTTTGAACCACCAGCATTTTTGCTAGCCGCCAAACCCTTAAGCACTGTGCCACCAGCACACCCTTCCCACACTAAGCTCCTAGGCTGAGCTATGGTTCTTCTTTGAAAAGGAGGTTCATTCACTCTTCTCTTTTTCCCTTCACTAGTGTATCAGGCAGAAGTGAGATGGCAGTGAAAGTCCCAGACACCATCACAGAATGGAAGGCCAGTGCATTCTGCTTGTCCGGGACAGAAGGGCTTGGCTTCTCGCCTACCATCTCTCTCCAAGTCTTCCAGCCTTTCTTCCTGGAATTCGTGCTCCCCTACTCTGTGGTACAAGGAGAAGCCTTCAAACTCAAGGCTACCATAGTCAACTATTTGTCCCACTGCATACGGGTAAGGACACTTCTCTCGAAGGGAGTGGATCCAGAAGGAGCATGATCACCACTCATTAACTTGGTCTCTGATCACCAGAATGAATTAGAACGGAGTATAAGGCATTGAGCTATATTGACACAGTTGCTGAAACACTAGAGTAAGACATAGGAATGACTGGGAAATGGATCAGTGTTTCACGTTCTTGCATAGGGGTCATTACAACTTGGAACTAACTCGACAGCACCTGGCAATATTGGAATGAGACAGGTATTACGAGCAAAGCTCCTTGACAAGTTCAAGGTGGTAGCATTATATTCTTTCAGTCATCTGTATCTATGTTTCCCTAAATTCACACATTATTTCCACCTGATTTTTTTTCCACATTAGCCAAATAAATATCTCTTCCTGTGTTGACATAAAATCTGGAGAGTTTTTATGCTTATTCTTGTCAGCTTTTTAATTCCTCTACTGCAAACACCTCCACTACAAAGTACTTGATAATATTTAGCTTGTTTTCACAGTTTCTTATAGGTCCATAGGTGACACACTCAGTTCACAACAACGATTTGGCCACTAGCAAAGGTTGACATTCCAACCCACCCAGAGATACTGCAGGAGAAAGAGATGGTGAACTGCTTTCCTAAAGATCACAGCCAAGAAAATGCTATGGTGCAGTTCTCGGTAACCTATAGGGTTGTTATGAGTCAGAATCAATTTGATAATGGGGATATGAACTAGGGCGCACTGCCCCCCTCAGCTTCTTTCCGTACGATTGACCCTGTTATCTATCAGTGTTCTCAAACATGTGTGTGGTTTGGGGGACAGGTCAGAGTGCAGCTGGAGGAGTCTTCTGCCTTCTTAGCCATCCCAGGAGAGAAGAATGCAGAATCTCACTGCATCTGTGGACATGAGAGGAAAACTGTGTTCTGGGCTGTGACCCCAAAGTCACTGGGTGAGTGACATATTTCAGCTCTTTTATTCTGACAAACTGAATTATGGGGTTTTATTTTCCTTCCTTAAGAATGAAGTTAGTGGTAGAACACCAGCAGAGACAGTATGAGAATATTAAAAGGAGAAACTGATTGATGTAAAATCGTTGTTTCACCATCCCCCAGGGAAGGTAAATTTCACCGCATCTGCAGAAGCCCTCCAGTCTCGGGAATTGTGTGGCAATGAGGAGCCTAAGATGCCATCGTTTGGACAGAAGGATACGGTGGTCAAGCCCTTGTTAATTGAGGTATGTGGGCAGCATACTTCCTCTCAGTTGGGGCGGTCTTGCTTTATAGCCTATCACTACCTCATCTGTCTGTGGGAGTCCTCAATGACAAGCAGTTAAATGTTCAAGTACGAGTTGAAACTTTGATGGTTGAAACACACCCAGAAGTGTCTCAGAAGATAGTTCTAGAGATCTGCTGGCAAAAATCATGTTCTTGAGAACTCCATGAAGCTCAGTTGTCCTCTGCCCACGTGAGGTTGACTTGGCAATAGGTAAGGACCACATGTATGTGCAGGTGACGTTTCATCCCCCAAACAGGAACGTATCTGCAGCGCCAGGTTTTGTTATGATCACGTTGATTCTACTTTAAAGTAATTGTTTTTCCTCTGAATGCTCCTAAAGTATTGCTTTACTTTTTTTTTTTTTAAATCAAAGCCTGAAGGAATAGAAAAAGAAGAAACTTTCAACACACTGCTCTGTGCATCAGGTAAGTGTCAACAAATAGATAAAATTCTCATGTTAAGCCACTTGTTACTTGTATTCAAAAGGAATTTCAGGTCACCAGCATATATAGAAGCCAGTATGTAATTAATACCTACTAAGATAATCATATAAAATTTAGCATTAAGAAAATTCTCCTCTGTTATCTTAGGGACAATACTCAGTCTGAAGTTCTCTTCTCTCTTTAAGAATTCTTTCATGGGTGTATCTAGTTATATAGCTTTATAAAAATAAAATAAAAACTAACATTGGAGACAATTAAATTTATATCTTAACTTCTTTGTGTGCATTTTTATCAGCTACTGGAGTTCCTGAGAAATTATCCCTAAAAATTCCTTCAAATGTGGTTGAAGGATCAACCAGGGCAACATATACAGTTTTGGGTAAGTCTCCTAGCTCTAAAGGAAGCTGCTATTTGTCAATCTAATTCCAGTGTATGGGGCCTCACCATCCCTGTTAACGAAGTCCCTAACCGTAAATATTAAACAAACATAGGATACCAGTTTATTACTAAGCAGGTTCAATTCTCTGTGCCTCCCCCTTTAAGAGCTTACCTAAGAAGGGTGCCTAATGTTGTGGCTGATGTCAGGGGCCCTTGCATCAGATTCAATAGCGACCAGATGACAGGCAACAGGACAAAACCCTGCCTGGTCCTGCGCTCTCCTCACACTTGTTCCTGTGCCTGAGCCCATCGGTGCAGGCGTGGTGTGAATCCATCTCCTCAAGCGCCTTCCTCTTTCTCACTGCCTCGCTACTTCACCCAACGTGCTATCTTCTCCAGGGACGGTCTCTCTGGACAACCTGTCCAAAGATGCCTCCTCGTAGATTTTGATATAATTGGTAATTCAGTTTCATCAGCTAATAGGTCCATGAGAACAGATACATCACTGGTCCTTCCGTTTCTACTCTACTTGCTCGATCCTTGAAACACTTATTTTTCTGTCTTTCACGGACCTTTCTCTTTCTTGCTTCTCTCTTGTTCTAATAGTCCCCTCCATAAGAAGTTTATCCCCTAGGTTAATAATCTATTTTCATCTCCCAATACAAACTATCTCTGAATGCCTCTGATTTATTTTTTTCATCTTTTCATTTCCAGGTGACATACTCGGTTCTGCGATGGAAAATCTGCAGAATCTTGTCCAGCTGCCCTATGGTTGCGGAGAGCAAAATATGATCCTCTTTACCCCTAATATCTATGTTCTGGCCTATCTGAGTGAGACAGGACAGCTGACAGAGAAGATCAAGTCAAAAGCCATCAACTATCTCACTAGTGGTGAGAAATTAATCTAAACAGAGAAACTTCCATTGATTCCCTACCTATATCCTCAATAAACTGAAACAACATTCCATTAATTAATATTTGATCATATTAATTCTCAAATACATTGTTGCTGTGAAATTCATGTTCCAATGAAAGGCCCCACTATGCAGCCCTAAAGGTGTCCTACTGATACAATGGTTAAGCACTCCGATGCAAACCCAAAGGTTACTAGTTTGAACTTACGAACCACTCCATGGTAGAAAAGACCTGGTGATGAGCACCCATAAAGACTTCAGCCTAAGAAATTCTATGGAGGCAATTCTGTGTCCTATAAGGTCACTGTGAGTCAGAATTGACTCACCAGCACACAGCAACAGTGTATAATGATAAAAAAGTCAATGTTATCATCAATTTTTAAAACCTCTATGCGCTATAGTTCCTCCACAAGCATTAAAGAAAAGACTGCTTAATTCCCCAATGTTTCTGCTGCCTCATAAGTTATGAAAACTTCCTCTTCAGGGTACCAAAGGCAGCTGAATTATAAGCACAATGATGGCTCATACAGTACCTTTGGGGATCACGGTGGTAGAACACCAGGAAACACATGGTAAGATAATTATTCCATATGCTACTCATGGACTCATGATAAATCAGCATTCTGTATATGTGACTACTCTCTAGTACTTGGAACTCGTATATATATATATGAGATATCTATATGTGTGTGTGTTATAAATATGTTAGAACTAATATATATGTGTATATAATTTAGCCTTTAAAAATCAGCGTGTATATCACTGCAACTGGATAACCTCATAGTTTCATCTCTGAAAGCTCCCCTTCTTTGATAGCACAACTGAGATAAAATGAGAACCTCCATGTTAAGTGACATAGTAAGAAACATTCTACATGGTAGAATTAAGGGAGGGAAAGGACAGGAAGAGAGAGTGATGTAATAAAATTAGGAAAAACTATTCAGGAAATGCAGCATTGGTTGTGGAAAGGCTTAGGAACTCATAGTGATTGTGCAAGAGGAAGAAACAATGAAAAGCAACAACTCTGTAGAAAATACTAGAGTTGAAATATCAGCACAAAGATTGGGATGTTTGTTGGGCTAGAGAACATTCAACTCGGGAGTCCCATTTCCCCCACTAATCACTCAGTCGATTGTTCCCATCATTTAGATCACTGGCTGAAGGTAGTACACAGTGTGATATTTGCAAGGGAGGTAGTCCTCATGCTTCTGTCTCTTCTGTGTTGAACAGGCTCACTGCATTTGTGGTCAAATCCTTTTCTCAAGCCCAGTCGTACATCTTTGTGGAGAGTTCCCATATCATAATTGCCTTCACCTGGCTTTCACAGAGGCAAAAGGAAAATGGTTGTTTCCAATGCTCTGGATCTCTGCTAAATAATGCTATGAAGGTGATGCCGATGTTAAAAAAAAGGGGGGGGGTCTCTAAAGTTAGTATCCATCACTCATATATCAGTTTGTCATATGGTAGTGATTTCCATGTTGCTGTGAACCTAGAAGTTACACTTCCAGTACTTTAAATACCACCTTTATTACGCAGCGTTCAGTAGGACTTCCAGATTAAGCAGGACCTGGATAATTATTTTTTAAAAACTTGTCAGCGAGAGCCTGTGAATAGCAGCCGAACATTGTCAAATATGATGTTGGAAGATGAACCCCTCAAGTTGGAAGACTGAGAAACTGAGAAAGAGCTGCCTCCTCAAAGGAGAATTGACCTGAATGTGATGATTTTAGACTTATATTTGTTGACATGACACGACAAATTGAGAAGAAACAGCGTCAAACAATCATTAATAATCAGACCATGAAATGTATGAAGTATGAAACTAGGAAAAATTGTCATCAGTAATTGAATGTAACACATTAATATAGATATCACTTACTAAGATAGATATTAATAAATGAAATAGATTGATATTGGTCATTTTGAATCAGACAATCAAATGGTCAATTATTCCAGGGATGCAAAATGAATAGTAATCATGTCGATTCATTATCAAAAAGATCATCATCAGATCTATTCTGAAGTACAACACTGTCACGTGTAAGATAATGTCATATGCTTACAAGGAAAACAAGTTGAAACAACCATTATTCAAATGTAAGCAATAACCACTAAGGCCCAAAATGAGCTCAAATATAGCAATGATTGTAAACGTGGCCCAGGACCAAGTAATATTATGTTCTGTGGTACATAGGCTCTGGAGGAGGCCAAGCCAAGTCGATGACGCCTAGGAACAAAACAGTAGCAAAGACAGAGAGACAGAGAAGGAAATTCTGCTTCTGTCAGTTCCTGAGACTTGGCGGCAGGGACTATTGGCGAGGGAAGGCGGGGAATCAATATATGGCACAAGCAGGAACGCTGCCTCGAGAGCACTGTGTTCTGTTGGGTGTGAGGTCACCAGCACTTGGAACCAGCTCCACGCCAGCTAACAGAAGTGACATTACTACCCAAGTTACCCAAAGCGCTGTTGGCAGAATCCAGCTAAAAAAATATTGAAGCACTTATGAGTCCCCATGTTTTGTCCTTCCAGGGCGGAGTAGACGACGAGGTGACACTCTCTGCCTACGTCACCATTGCTCTGCTGGAGATGCCACTACCCGTCAGTGTACGTATTAGCGCATTCCCTGTAGCTCCTTCACAAATGTAAGAAATAAAAAGTACAAGTTTATGAATCTCAGAGAAAAATGAGTGGTGGATTTAATGATAATTAATTTTGGTATACTTTGCTGAGATGTAAGGAACTAGGTTATTTCAGAAGCTACAGAGGAAATAATTTTCTGGTCAGAACTGTGATAGTACACACATACACACACACACACACACACACACACACACACACACAAAGGCTTTTAATCTGAGGTTTGCCTGGGAACTAATCGTTCATTAGCCTGATTCTGCTGTCTTAAGATCTCTTTTCATCCTCCTCTTAGCACCCAGTTGTCCGAAATGCTCTAAACTGTCTGGAAATGGCCTGGAAATCCACTTCAGAGGCCCAAGGGAATTTTGTCTATACAAAGGCTTTACTGGCCTATGCCTTTGCCCTAGCAGGACACCAGGCCAGCCGGAATGAGGTGCTTAAATCACTTGACAGAGAGGCTATAAAAGAAGGTAAGAGCTACTAGAAAACCTTACCTCCAACAATTACCTGAGATCAGAGGAGGAAAGAGGGCCTATTGAAAAGCTATGAAGTTATTTTAATCATAATTATAATAAGAACCCTTATCATTTACCTAACACTTAAATATTCTAAGCATCATGGATTCTTTTATTAATTCACATGCTACAGACCCTATACAGATAAACTTTTCCTCACTGGTGTATAGCAGACACAAAGACATTGTGTGACTTAATTTATCTTCTTAGCAAATATTTGCTGCAATTGTGACTATTTAATGCTTTCACTTAATCACTGTCAGTCACTAGGTTAGCTCTAATTATTGTGATAAGTTTGCTTTTGGGGCTTAAATACTTTTCTAAGTGTGATAAATATATATGTAATAAAATATTTGATATTTTAACCATCTTTACATGTGAAATACAATATTATATTCATCATGTTACTCAATGATCACCTTTATACATTCCCAAATTTTGCTATTACTTTTCATTAAAGGTCAGGGTCCTCAAAGTAGAGTCTTCCTTTACTCCTCCCTCCCACCACTCCTAACCACTAATAAACTTGGGTTTCTATACCATTTCTAAGTTAAATAGCCTACTCTTTTCCATTTCAAAGAGGATTCAATCCACTGGCAACGTCCAAGGAAACTTCAAGAAGATAGCACACTCTTTTATCAACCCCGAGCTCCCTCTGTGGAAGTGGAGATGGCAGCCTACATACTCCTGGCCTATCTTACTGCCCAGCCTGCCCCATCTTCAGCTGACCTATCCATGGCGTCACGCATTGTGAAGTGGATCATCAAGCAGCAAAATCCCCATGGAGGTTTCTCATCCACTCAGGTATAAGAAGTTACTCTATGAACAATAGAAGAAAAAACATACATGTATATATATGCATCTCTATGAATCTCAAAGTATAATAAGTTGTGGGTTATATATTAGCACATAGGTAAAATATATATATCTATATATGAATATACATATATATAAGCACATAGGTAGAAAACAGCATATTTTAGAAGCTTAGCTGGGGTTTCTAATTCACATCATCTCCATTCCTTCATCAACACTCTTATAAATTCCATGTACAGATTACTGCTGTGTTCCCTTTGCATATCTTCATATCTTCTCTCCTTAGTGGACCCCCAACAGTGCATGTAATTTTCCTAAGGCATTGTTTTTGTAAAAATAACACCTACAATTTTTTCAAACCCAACGTCTGATATTAGGTAATATTTTGCCTAAAAATTTCCTCTCTCCAGAAAACTGATTATTTTCACTTCATTAGATGATCCTTTTATCTTTTCTGGAGTTGAGTTACTGTTGTTTCCATGCCTCCATTGAAAGCATTCCCTACCCTGGTTTCTCATACACTGCTCTCCTATCCATAGAAACCTTTCCCAGTATTCAGAGATAATTGTATTTCTCACCTTTATCGAAGTCTTTTCTTACTATTCTATTATGTATTTTCTTCTCCAACTCTGAATGTTTTTGTGTGTGTCTGTTTTTTTAAACATTTTATTAGGGGCTCATACAACTGTTATCGCAATCCATACACACATCAATTTTGTAAAGCGCATTTGCACATCATTCTCAAAACATTTTCTCTCCACTTAAACCCCCAACATTAGGTCCTCATTTTTCCCCTCCCTCCCCGCTCCCCCCTCCCTCATGAGCCCTTGATAGTTTATAAATTGGTATTTTGTCATATCTCAACTCTGAATGTTTACAAAAGAAATTATTGCCTAAATATATAAATTCTTGAAATTGTCTCCACTTGTGTCAGATATTTGAGTATAATTTCTATATGCATATTATTTTTAAAAGCTTGAATGAAGAAATATGTAATTGAAGTCCCAAAGTACCTAAACTAGTTTAGGATTAATAGTGAGATCTGAACTAAATTATAATTCAATTAAGTACTCTGATTTAGACTGAACACATCTGCTACGGAGTATTGATGATATGGTTTACACCCAGTAAAGAGTTGATAGCTTACTCTCCTGTGAGATTTCTGATCCCATCTCTTTTCAGGATACAGTAGTGGCTCTCCAAGCCCTCGCCAAGTATGGAGCCCGGATCTTTGCTACAAGTCAGAAAGCAGCTATAGTCTCAGTCAAGTCTTCAGGAGCCTTCTCTAAAGAATTTCAAGTAAATGAAGCCAACCGCCTATTGCTGCAGGAGGTCCAGCTGCCTGAGATTCCAGGAGAATATAGCACAACCATTTCAGGAAGAGGGTGTGTGTACCTCCAGGTGAGACTGCCAAGACTCGAGGTATTCTGAAAATGTACCAGAAGGTCTCAGAATGAAAAGTGTTTTTCAAAGTAGGAAAAGAAACAGATGCTAAAAGGCTGTGTGAATAACTTGGGAAAAGCTGTGACACTACTTTTGCAAAGATAATGAACATTTAAAATTTATTTTAGACAACCCTGAGATATAATATCTTGCCTAAGAAGGAACAGAAAGCTCCCTTCAGCCTGAGTGTTAATACTCTGCCCAAGGACTGTGATGGAGCAGCTGCTCACAAGAAATTCCAGATTGACCTCAACATTAGGTAAGTCTGTCATTACTGCCAGACCATTTGCATAATGTGGGGAAATTGATTTTCTATGAGACAACTTCACTGTCCAAAGTCCTACATAATGAGTATAAAACACCTGCAGTATTTATTAATCACAAACTTCTTCTCTTTTTGAAACATTGAAAAAAAAGAGAGTGAACAAAAACTATTTCTTTTTCAAATAACCATAATAGAAGCAAATAGAGTAGACATAGAAACTGAGTGAAAGTTAGAGTTAAGGAAAACTAGAAATACAGGAAAAGAGTAAATTGCTTCCTTGAATTAATTCCATCAAATTTTGTTTGAGTGCCTAATATGTACACCTTGACTTTCTAGTTATACTGGGGAGCGACCTAGATCCAACATGGTCATTGTTGACGTAAAGATGGTATCAGGCTTCATACCTGTGAAAAAATCAGTGAAAAAGGTAAATTCTGAATCTCTTCCAGGTAAGTCATGACAAATAGTGACACCTATGGTTGTCGAACTTATTTCATTGATGTGGCTTTAAAGAGATTTACTTCTTAAAATATGCATCTGTAAGTAGAGTGTGCTTCTATTATTTCTTTAGTGAATAACACAGTTATGTGGAGTTCTTGGGTGGCACAAACAGTTAAACACTTGATTACTAACCTATTTAAACAAAAGTAAATTAAGTTTAAAAGTAAACGTGCCAATACACACCCAACAAAATGTCTTTGAACATATCAATCTAACTCTTAAAGAACTCAAAAGAGAAGTAGAAATTACAATAATAATAGGAGATTTCAATACACCACTCTTTAGGAAGGACAGATCATAGGGAAAGAAACTCAATAAAGATGAAGAAGAACTACACAACATAGTTAACCAATTTTATCTCCTAGATATTCACAGAGCACTCCACCTGTGTTAGTCAAGTAGACTAGAAAAACAATTCCAGAGATATTCATATATGTGTAAGAGAGAGCTTTAGATCAAAGAGCAATTGTGTATTGATAAAACATCCCAGCCCAGTCCAGATCCAGTCCATAAATCTGAAACAGCCCATAAGTCTGATACTAGTCCAAAAATCCCTCTTTAGACTCACACAGTCACACGCAATGATGCAGAATGCAGGAAGATCACAGATTAGTGGGTGCAAACTCTTGTGGATCCAATGGCAGTGGCTGCATCTAAGCACTTGTAGGTGTTAGCCTGACTTTTCCAGCAGGAAGGTGAAGGGAGAGAGAGAGAGATGGCCCGCCTCCAGAGAGCCATTTATCTTGGTGGCACCTCCAAATGAGGTCATCAAGTGATGACCTGACTGACAGGGTAAACCCCACCCCTTCACTTTTATATACTGAAGTTGACATGAAATTATATAACTACCACACAACCCAAGGATACAGTGTACATTTTTTTCCCAGTGCGCATGGAACATTCTCTACAATAGACCCTCTGTTAGGACACATTGCTCAAAAATTCCAAACTCACTGCCATCTATTTGATTCTGGCTCATACTGACTCTGCAGAACAGGGTAGAAAGGTCCCTGTGGATTTCTGAGAGGCAACTCTTTATAGGACTAGAAAGTCTCATCTTTCTCCCACAGAGTGGCTGGGGACTACAGAACCGTGGTTAGCAGCATAATACATAACCACGACACCACAAGGGCTCCTAGCAGACACAATACAAGCCTTAATGAATGTAAAAATATTGACATTTTACCATCCTTTTTCTCAGAGCACATGCTAAAAAAGGAGAAATCAACACTGGGAAGAGCAAGGGCAAAACATTAAATACAGGAAAACTGAACAACACACTGTTTTGAAACTACTGGGCCATTGATGAAATGTGGAATGAAATCAGAAAATTCCTTGAAACAAATAATGAAAACACAACATCAAAACATACCAACGCCTTTGGGACACAGAAAAATAGTACTCGAAGAGCAATTTATAGCAATAAACACACAGGGAGAGAGACCCAAAATCAACACTCTATACAAGCTTCTTCAACAACTAGAACAAGAGCAACAAAATAGACCTCCAATCAAGATAAATTATAAGGATTTGAGCAGAAATAAATGAATTGGGAAATAGAAAAAATCAAGTTAGTTCATTGTAATGTTTAACAAAATTGACAAACCACTGGAAATTTTAACAAAGAGAAAGAAAACCTCTTTTCCTGCAAATATCAAGAAAAAGAGATCAAAGGAGTGATATCATAACAGATCCTAATGAAAAATTTTTAATTTCTATGAAGAATTGTACTCCAAAAATTTGAAAACCTAGATGAAATGGACAAATTTCTGTCTACCCAAAATATCTACCCAAACTAATACAGACTGTTATAGAAAACTTGAACGAGCTCATATTTTAAAAAGGAATATAAAATAAGTCAGGTCATTTAAAAATTCAAACAAAATGAAGTCCAGGGCAGATGGCTTCACCCAGGAAGTCTACGAAGTATTCCGAGAAGAGGTGACATCACTTCCACATACACTATTCTAGGGTATACAAAAGGATAGCAAGCTCCCAAATTCATTTTATGAGCCAGCATAACCCTGATACCAAAACAAGTCAAAGACACCATTAACACAATGAATGACAGGACACTATTCCTCCTGAACACAGATGTAAAAATTATTAACAAACAATTATCCTGTAAAAGCCAACAATACATGAAAAAAATAATAGCCATGATCAAATACCAGGCACAAAAGCATGGTTTAACATGTGTGTTTGTGTCTGGGGCTGGAGGGGGGGGGCACTCAATATAATATACCACATAAACAAAACAAAAGATAAGAACCATGTGCTCATATTGATCAATGCAGATACAATGATAAATATATAGACCAATGGAACAGAGTAAAGAACCTATAAATAAATTCAGCCACTTATGAACAAATGGCTTCAACAAAGATCCAAACAACTTTCACTGGGAAAGAGTCACTTCAATAAAGTATTTGAAACTATAAGAATAAAAACAGACCCATACATACCTCATCCCGTGTATAAAAAATAGCTAAAGATGAATTAAAGACCTAAATGTAAACTACAGAGCTATAAAGATCATAAATGAGAAAATGGGAGCAAATATAAGAACCCTATTGCAGGGCATAGACACATTATCATATTTTTAAAATGAAATATAAACAGTAGACAATAAAATAGATGACTGCAACCTACTAAAAATAAGACACTTCTGGTCATCAAAATATTTCATCAAAAGAGTAAAAAGAACAAGAAATAAATTGATAACACAACAGAAACAGGACTGATCTCTAAAAATCTATAGAAAACTGCAGCACCTCTCAAAGAAAAAGACAAACAATCCAATTTAAAAGTGGGCAAAGATTATGAACATACAGTTCACCGAAATTACAGCCAAATGGCAAACAAATCTATGAAAAATACATTCACGAGCCATCCAGGAGATGCAAATTAGAGACGAGATACCACTTTACACCAACAATAACAGTCAAGTTAAAAAAAACAACAACAGAAAATCACACATGCTGGAGGGGCTGCAATGGTTGGAACTTCATACCATTCTAGTGAAACTCTAACTGTAAAACCACTGTTGAAAGTGATATAGCGTCACATCAAACTGGATCATAAAAAGTCTATATGATCCAGACATCTCCCTGTTGGGTCTATGTCCAAAAGAAGTAAGTGCTATAACATGAACAGACACACGCACACCCATGTTCCTCACAACACTGCTCACAATCGTAGGAAGATTGAAACAACCTAAGTGCCCATCAGGAGAATAGCTAGAGAAATATTGGTTTGTACACACAATGGAATATTACGCATCACCAAAAAACAATGAGAAAACCACAACACACCTCCTGACATGGATGGACATGGAAAACATGCTAAGTGAATTCAGCCAACCACACAAGGACAAATACTAGAGACCACTATTACACGGACAAAGAAACAAGACAAAGACTTTCATACTTAAGGGAACGGACTTTGGAGATTCCCAACGTGGGAAAGAAACAGAGGGAGGATAAAGCAATGGGCTTGACGATTGAGGGATGTTCACTTGGGTGGGATGGAATGTAGTAGTCCACTAGCGAGAGAAGAGATATCGAGGTGGGGAGGGAGGGTAAACTATTGCAGGGTTTGATTAGTAGTTGAAAGTTTTGAATGCAAAATTGATTATCTGAAATGTAAACTCCACCCAATTTGCAAAAATATAATAATATATAATATAATTATAAGGGTTCCTGAAGGGTAGGGTGGGGGAAGGAAGGAATAAAAGGGAACTGATATCAAAGAGTTCAAGAAGAAAGAAAATTATTTGAAACTGATGGTGGCAGCAATTGTACAATTATGCTTGATCTAATTGAATTATGGATTGTTATAATATCTGTAAGAACTCCCAATAAAATGATTGATTTTTTTTAAAGAAAAAATTTTCTGGTCAGATTACCTGAACTATATCCAGCTTTGCAGTGTATGGTATATATAATATACAAAAGGACAAGTTAATCTCTTTGTATTCGGCTGGTTTCTTGTCTAAAAGGGAAAATGATCTTAGTACTGAACTAACAGTGTCAATATGAAATTATATCATCTAATCCATATACAAGCAATTAAAACAGTGACGAGGATATAGTAAAGGCTAAATAAGTAGCATCATCATCATGCTTCTTATTCCTAGAGGAACTGACATTAGTGGTTTGGATGCTTCTGAGCAGCCATGTAGATTATTTTTTCTAATGCTTTCAACATAAAATGTCCTCGTTCCATATTTCTGGCTTATGCTCTCATCAACAGCTCCAAGAAAGACCTGAGATTCCAAGGACTGAAGTGAGCACCAATCACGTCTTGATTTACTTTAAAGAGGTAAGATTCTCTGTGACTCTGTGCTTGGTCTGAGAGGGCATCTAGACTGACTCAAATTTCAGTCCAGTTCCCAGTGTTTTTCACATGCACAGATGGCAGGAAAGAAAATGATCAGAGAGAGAAATGAGGCTTGTACTGGCTAACAAGGCTCAGTGTACTACATTTGTCTGTTCATACAATTGACTCTTGTGTTCTTATTTACTTTGTCCTTATTTTATATGCCACTGAATGTGATATGCAAATCAAAATGACCTACTTTTTCTATTAGTGTTAGTTGGATTGCAAGTCTTGGTACTAGATTAATATGGTATGTGGGCGGGGGGGAAACTAAGTAATCTTTATTCTAATTCCGTTTTTCCTGTCTCTTCAGCTAACCAATCAAACCCTGAGTTTCTCCTTCTCAGTGGAACAAGATATCAAAATAAAGAATTTAAAACCAGCTGCAGTCAAAATCTATGATTATTATGAGACAGGTAAGATTTGGCCTTGATGAGCTTTATAACAGAACAAATGGCCAACCTAGTTAAAGGGGTAATTACCTTCTCTGACACAAAATTCCACAATGTTTCCTTGGAAGAAAATTTGAGTTTATGGTCACTAAATAATCATATTCTTGTGTATTATCCTATTATATATCTTCTTAGAATTCTTATATATTAGACTATAACCTATCTCCTAAATATCCTTAGAACCATTCTTACAAATTGATTATGAAGTTCTGCCTGAATTTTCCTATAAAATTGCTTAGTGTGGGCTAAATGATTCCAAGAAATGAGAAGAGTAACAATAACTAAAATACCATCTCCCAGCACTGATATGTGATATGGAACGTAAAGGTTTATTTATAGTTGACTTCTGCTTTTGGAGTTGTTTTTAGATGTGATTGAGTCTGTTCGTACTCATAGGCAATCTTTGTACAAGAGAATAAAATATCAGCTGTTTCTGCACCATCCTCAAAAGTGTCGCCAGGTTTGAGCCCACAGTTTCAGGCATTGTATGTTTTGCATAATCTCACAAAATGTGGAACACTTTTCAGTGTAAAAGGAAATTCTTTCATTGACTCAGGACTTTGCACTAGAAACGTAGGACTTAATAACCCAGTATATCATAGAACATGGTAGTGTTAAAATTCAACTTCTTCTTGCCGCAAAAACAAAACTTTAGAGAGGAGGACACTAACGCAATAAGGAAAACAAACAAACACACAAACAAACAAACTGAGAAACAGGGCTCTAGGGAGCCCTAGAGATAGACACGTTCATAATATCTGTGTAACCTGTCCCTCAATCTGTACCCAAGCCCAATTTTATCTCTTGTTCTGCTTCCCCAATTCTAAATGGCTTATTGTAGAAGTAGTCTTCTTGTTTTGCTTTGTGTTTTTTTTTAAATCCTTTTATTGGGGGCACATACAACTCTTATCACAATCCATCCATCATTTGAATCAGGCGTGTTTGTACATATGTTGCCCTCAATTTCTGGAAGTAGTCTTCTTCGTTGGCTATATAGCTCTTTGGATATCAGAGTACCACTTCCTTATTTGAGTTATGTAATTCAGTAGTTACTCACGTGTCTGCTACTGAATGTGTTCATTCTTTATTCACAAGGCCCATCCTTTTCTTCTTTCAGATGAATTTGCCATTGAAGAGTACAGTGCCCCTTGTAGTTCTGGTAAAGTATAAACAGTAAACTCTAATGCCAACTGAGGAAGGAAGGAAGGAAGGAAGGGATGGACTAAGGGAGTGAGGGAGGAAGAAATGAATAGAGAAAAACAGTATTTCACCTTTCTGCATAAGATTGCTTCTTAAGATGAGTGTATCCTTGTCATAGTATAAAAACTTCTGCTGTTATCTGTTAAGAATTGAATGATTTCAAATGAGAGATTTAATGTCTAAAACTTTCCTCTAAGCTAGTTGACAGGATTTATTTTGACAGGATACTATTTCCTGTAAGGATGTCAGTTCTCCACTTCAAATCTGTAAATGTCAGAAAATTCTATCGTAAAAAGTAAATAAAATTTTATTAAGTAAAAATATTTATGATGTAAAACTACTCCTACAGTAGATCATAGAATTTCTCTGGTAGTTATATCCTTTCTGATATTGTTTAGAATCGGAACAAGGAAATGCTTGAGGAGTGGAAATGTATGTACCTCATCAGATGGACTTCGGCAGAAATGAAGATCTATCAACAGAGAGGAGAAAGGAAGGAAGGAGTTCATAGTACATGTATTGAATAAAGTTATATTTACAATGCTTTACTCTCTTTGTTTTCTATTTATCAATGTTAGTTTTCCTTTTGAAATATATCTATATTCTCCATAGCATTTTAAGGGACATTTAAAAATCTATCCACAGGAGTACATTCAAAAATACAATAAATAAATAAAATAAAATTCTAAAAATTATTTAAGTAACCCCAAGGAATGCAGGAAAAATAAAACATAAAAAGAAACAGAAGTGTGGTGTGTGTATATTCTTACCTGTTGATAATTATGTTAGGTGCAAATAATTTAAATGTTAAAAAGACAGAATGGTTAGAGCATATTTTAAAAGATTGAACAAATTTGCTATCTCCAAGAAAAGCTCCCTTGTAAAATGATAGAGCTTGAAAGTAAAATGAGGGAGAATAATATGCCATGAAAACATTAATTAAAAGAAACTAGGAACTATGTTAATATCAGATGAAGTAAACTTCAAAATTAAAAGAAAAAGTCTTGATGTGATTGAACTATTATAAATGTGAATTATATGCCAATAAAACTGTTCAAAAAATTATCATGGAAAGTAAGTGGAATTACATACTATGAAAAGAGTAAATTCAGCATGAAGACATACTAATACTTAATGTGGATAAATCAAACAAAAGATAAGCAAAAATCAGGTTTAAAAAAAAAGAAACTAATAGACATAAAAGGGCAAATAGACATTTCTTTAAGACTTCAAAAGCCATATGTAAATAATTGTTAGCACAACTGGTCAGTAAATCAGAAAGGCTATAGACGAGCATGATTAGCCAATGGAATCAAAGATCAGAAGCAAAGCAAAAATGCCCACTCTCGCTGCTTTTATTCAAAAGAGTACCAGAAGTTCTAGCCACTGGACTAAGAAAAGGCACGTGCACCACACATGGACTTCCCCAGATGGAATACACAGAAATCAAATTGACTGCATCTCTAGGAAAACACAATAGAGCAACTCAATATCAACAACTAAAACCAGACCACGGGCTAACTGTGGAACAGACCATTAATTGATCATATGTAAGTTCTGGATAAAGCCGAAGAAAATAAAAACAAATCCACAAGAGTCAAATATGACCTTGAGTCTGTTCCACCTGAATTCTGAGAACATCTCAATAACAGGTTTGACACATTGAGCACTGATGGCAAAAGGCCTGATGAGGAGTGGGAGGACATCAACACCATCATTCATGAGAAACACAAAACATCATTTAGAAGCCAGGAAAGAAAGAAAAAATCCAAGGGAATGTGAGAAGGGATTCTGAAATTTTAATTGTCGAGAAGCTAAAGCAAATGGAAGAAAGATGCATTCAAGGGGCTGGATAAAAATTTTCAAAGAGCACCTTGAGGAGCAAAGCCAAATATTTTAACAAAATATGCAAGGACCTAGAATTAGAAAACCAAGAGGGAAACATACGCAGCATATCTGAAACTGAAAGAACTCAAGAAAAAAAAATCAAGCCGCAAAATGCAATTTGAAAGATTCTAATATCAAACCCTGGTGGTGTAGTGGTTAAGCATTGGGTTGTGATCAGATTGGTCGGTGGTTCAAAACCACCAGCTGCTCTGTGAGAGAAAGACTGGGCTTTCTACTTCCACAAACAGTTACAGTCTCAAAAAATTCACGGGGGGTCGTTATGAGTCAGCATTGATTTGATGGCAGTGAGATACGCAAAATATTGAATGATGCAGGAAGCATCAAGAAAAGATAGAAAGAAAACACAGAGGCACTGTACCAAAAAGAAGTAGCAACAGTCCACCATTTCAGGAGGTAGCATATGAGCAAGAACCAATGGTGCTGAAAGAAGAAGTTCAAGATTCACTGAATGCGTTATACTAAAAACAAGACTCCAGGAATTGATGGAATACCCATGCCATGTTTTCAGAAAGCTGAAGAAACAATGGAAACACTCACTCAACTATGCCAGGAAATTTGGAAGACAGCTACTTGGGCCAATTGACTGGAACAGATCCATATTTGTTCCCATTCCTAAGAAAGGTGGCCCACACTATAGAATAGTTATCACTGATATCACACACAAGTAAAATTTTGCTAAAAATCATCCAACAACGGTTGCAGCAGCATATTGACAGGGAACTGCCAGAAGTTAAGTTATAGTTATATATATAACTATATATATATAGTTATATATGTATATATATAGTTATATATATAGTTATATGTATATAGTTTTATATATATATATATAAAATGAGAGGGGAATAGAACTATGTACTCATATCTATATGTTAAGAACTAAGGTTGCAGATAGACATTGGTCCTCAACTCAAGTACTCCCTTAAGACAAGAACACTTTGTTCTAACAATCTGGCATTCTGGGAACTTACCCTCCCAACATGATTGCTGAAGACAAAATGGGTGCCTAAGCAAGTGTGTTGAAGAAAGCTGATGGTGCCCGGCTATCAAAAGATATAGCATCTGGGGTCTTAAAGGCTAGAAGATAAACAAGTGGCCATCTAACTGTGAAGAAACAAAACCCACATGGAAGAAGTACACCAGCCTGTGTGATCATGAGGTGTCGATGGGATCAGGTATCAGGCATTTAAGACCCAGAATAAAATCATACCTAAGGTGAATGGGGGGTAGAGGGGTGGCATGGAGTGGAGACCCAATGCCCATCTGTAGACCATTGGACATCCTCTCATAGAGGGGTCACAGGGAAGAGATGAGCCAGTCAGGGTACAGTCTAGCACCGATGAAACACTCAACTTTCCTCTAGCTCTTTGGTGGTTCTTTCACCCCACTATCATGACCTTACAAATTGGATCAGACCAGAGCATGCACACTGCTACAGATAAGAACCCACAACACAGGGAATCCAGGATAGATAAACCCCTCATGGCCAACAAGGAGAGTAGAGCTATCAGGAGAGGATGGGGGGAGAAAAGGGGAACCAATCACAAGGATCAAACTAGAACCCCCTCCCAGGGAGACGAATAACAGAAAAGTGGGTGAGGGGTGACGGAGGATGATATAAGATATGGAAAAAAATAATCTATAACTTATCAAGGGCTTTGGAGGGAGGGTGTGTGAGGGAGGGAGGGGGAAGAAATGGGGAGCGGATATCAGGGGCACAAGTGGGAAGAGAATGCTTTGAAAATGATGATGGCAGCGTATGTGCAAATGTGCTTGATGCTTGACACACTGGATGTAAGAGCCCCCAATAAAATTATTTTTTTTAAAAAGAAGTTCAGGCTGGATTCAGAAGAGGATGTGTGTCAGTTACATAATCTGTCAACTTGCGAAGGGGTGGAGTCTAGCCTATCAATCAGGTCATAGTCAATGAGGCATCTCTGGGAGCATGGCCTTCTCCTGAGGATCCTGGGGTACTCCTATCTTCCTCCCTGGAGGCAGGACAGACACTCCCTGTGAGACATTCCTGTTGACAAGACATATGGAGCTACACTAGTACCCTGGAGCTGGAGGAGCCACATGGAGACCCAGGCCAGCACTGAAATGCTTCCTCTGCCACTGGATCCACAAGAGTTTGCACCCACTGGCCAGTGATCTTCCTGCAATCGGCATCATTGCATGTGTTGCATGAGTCTGAAGAGGAACTTATAGACTGGCATCAGACATATGGGTCAATATTGGTCTTGTGGACTTGATCTGGACTGGACTGGGATGTTTTCTTAATATATAATTACTCTTTATATAAAGCTCTTTCTTATACATATATAAGTGTCTATTAATTTGTTTCTCTAGTCAACCCAGATTAACACAATATGGAACAAGAGGTATCATTGCTGATGTCCGGTGGAGCTTGGCTCAAATCAGAGAATACCACAAAGATGTTTATTTTTGTTTCATTGATTATACAAAGGCATTTGACTGTGTAGACCATAATAAACTATGGATAACCTTGAGAAGAATGGAAATTCCAGAACACTTCATCTTGCTCTTTTGGACTTGTACATGGATCAAGAGACAGTTGTGCAAACAGAACAAGGGACTACTGTATAGTTTCCAATCAGGAAAGCTGTACATCAGGGTTGTATTTTCTCATCATATTCATTCAATCTATACACTGAGCAAATTAGCAGATAAGCCAGATTATATGAAGAAGAATGCAGCATCAGGATTGGAGGAAGGCTTATTACCTGGATACCTGAAGTATCCAGGTGACACAATCTAGCTTGCTGAAAGTGAGGAGGTCTTGAAGTACTTGATGAAGATCATGGACTACATCCTTCAGTATGGATTACAACTCAGTGTGAGGAAGACCAAAATCCCCACAACTGAGCCAATAGGTAACATCATGATAAATGGAGAATGGGCTGTAGTTTTCAAGGATTTTTTTCTTGCTTGGATCTACAATCAATGCTCATGGAAGCAACAATCAAGAGCTCAAAAAAATGTATCTCATAAGGTAAAACTACTGCACAAGAACTCTTTAGAGCATTAACAACAAGGATATTCTTTTGAGGACTAAGATGTGCCTGACCCAAGCCATATGTCCAATATATGCAAGTGAAAGTTGGACAAGGAATAAGGAAGACTATAGAATTGATGCATTTGAATATTGGTGCTGGAAAAGAATATTGAAAGTACCATAGACTACCAAAAGGACAGACTGATCTGTATTGGTAGAAGTAAGACCAGAGTGCTCCTTAGAGGCAAGGATGGCAGTACTTTGTCTTACATACTTTGGGCACATTGTGAGGAGAGATGTCTCTGGAAAAGAGCATCATGTTTGGTAAAGCAGAGAGGCAGCAAAAACGAGGAAGGCCCTCAATGAGATGGATTGATACAGTGACTGCCTCGATGGGCTCAGGCACAGGAACAGTTGTGAGGATGGTGCAGAACCATGCAGTGTTTCATCCTGTTGTGCATGTTGCTATGGGTTGGAGCTGGCCAGATGGTACCTGACACCACCACCAACAGCAACAACACAAGAGGCAGACTTATTCAAACTTCTTAGATACAGGCAAACCCCTAGAAGGATTGAGTCACTGGGCCTGGGGGCTCCAGACCATAGTCTCATGTGACACCAAGG